TGTGAAATGAGACGTTATTTCTTCTGAAATTGACGACTTCTACTCTCTTTCTCATCTTTGGGTCTACATTCTTCTTGTGCACTTGCAGTGCAAAATTTGTGGCGGGATCTGATCTGCTGTTAGAGTGCCCTTCTGCACTTGGCGTAAGGGTCTCCTTGCTGTTGCGTTTGGTGGTTTCCGTTCTTTGCTGAAGCATGTTTCTGCAGGGGCAGCCTCTTGTCTTTTCTGCCTGTCACATATTTTGGTGACCCTGAATTTCCAGCCTCATCCTCCTCTCCTGCACATCAATGAGATCAGGCTTGGTGTGCTCTGGTGACACAGTTGGTGTGGTGGAGGTGCTCTGTTGGGGTTAGCTGGGCGACTTGCTCTTGTGACTCAGCAGTGACACCGTCTCCAGGGAGTGTTGTCCTGGTGGTAAGGGCAGGGCAGTCACACAGGAACCGTGCCCTACACGTTCTGTCTTTAATTCCTTGTACCTCCTTGCCTGTGCAGAACCACCGCAAATCTGGCTGTGGTGTGAGCACTCACTCCTGAGTTACAGGATCAGGTTTCCTGCTGTGGTCTCTTCTTCTGAAGGTCTTCCCTCTCCACCTGTCACTGGCGTATATGGATACAGCCAACATCTTCCTACAATGTGGCAAGCACGTGCTACTTAGGGGTCTCAAAAGCCACTGACAATGTGGAAGGAGAAGGGGAGTCCTTCATGCCTTCTCTCCTGACATGCTTTCAGCCAGGTGGCAGGACATGCTTTCTGGTGCACTGTGATATAGGTAGGAGGGAAGCATTGTGGGTGGAGATTTGGTTGGCCTTTAAAGCTGATTGTGCCATCATCCCGGCAGTCGCAGTGTCCACAGATGTTTTCCACCCAGAAGAAGCAACCAGCAGGCCCCTGGCACCCAGCACTCAGCCTGGAAGTGAAAGTGGACAAGCAAATGCCACAGATGGCTCTCATGTCAGTTTGATACCTGGAGTTTTTCCAGACATTGATGATCGTCTATATCAATTACCGACCCCTCATTCTCCTAGTAAGAACTATACATTGCCAGTGTTCTCATTTATCTGTCTGTTCTTGTTTTTTCAATGATGATTTTCTGAATGTATTTGTAGTATCCCTTAACTTTCAGTTATACTTCTAGTGTATTTTGCTTGTATTTTTTTTTTCCATTGTTATTTTTTATAGACATTTTTCAGTATGTTTTTAGTCCTCATTTAAGATGCAACTGAGGGGAATATTTTCCTCTCTGAAGCAGAATACTTGTCTCAAAAAGGTGATAGTAGTGTTTTGGAGATATTTTCTCTTACAGTATGTATCTGTATTTTGTAACACTTCTCAAAAAATGAAGTATAAGCTTTCTCCTTATGCCCGTAAGGACACGCTAGCTTTTTGACTTCCTTTTAAATGGACAAATGGACAAATGACTGCTGTGTAACCCAACTATCTGTCACTTTTTCAGCCGTCCTCCATCCCTCTGCACAGGTTAAACATATATCAGAAATTTCTTGTGCAAACTTTTTTTTCCCCGATTAGTAGGTATATCTGCAGCTGGTATCATGGCAATGACTGAGTTGTAACCAACATTTTGTTTGTGAACAGTTTATTTAAAAGGGGTTATTCATCTGGTAATGTTAGTGTAGTTAATGCTTTACTTGTTACCCTACAGATACCTTTTTCTTTTTTGTCATTTGCTATTAGAGCAAGGAACGAAGGGACTTTTCCTTATTCCCAGATTTTCCATACAGATCATCATTTTAACAGCAATTTTTTTCCCCCAGAAGCTATTTCTTTCTCATACTGATCTAAATAGTGCTTTCATGCACTTTCCTGGAAGTTAGTGGAATTGTGCCAGGATAGATTTTGGCCAATGCTATGTGGTTATTCTTTACAGTTAAGCACAGTAACGTGCCTATATATATTTAACATTATAGAGCAGATATTTTAAAGATAATTCTATTGTTCCTAATGACTGGGAGTTAGAATTTGTTTCCAGTGAATGCAGTCATTTTGAAAAATTTTAGCTAGAAATGGAATTTAGAATGTAGGCTAAACGTTCCTAAGTTTGCATAATTTCTCTTTCCACTTTTACCCTGGCATAGCTCCACTCAATTTTGTGGAGTCTACTTAAATTATCATTAATTAATGTTAATTCATACAAGTAGAATTTGTCCTTTTTCTTCTTCAGAATTTGATATTGAGTCAACAATATCACTCTTATCAAAACTGCAAAAATTATAGTATTTAGACATAGATACAGCAATACAAATGCAAAATATATATTTGCATTTTATTGGAAAGATAATCCTATTTTAATATCTCTTTCCTACTACAACAAATTCATTTCTTGGCACTCACTGCCCTATCACTTAATTAAGCCAAGCAGCCTCTATGTAGCGTGCAGACATTACAGTTTGAAAAAATGTTTGCTACTTTTCTGCTTTGAGCATAGAAAACCTGTATGGATTGCTCTGGAGGCCTTTTTCAAAGTGAATGCCCTTTTTTTCCCCTGCTTATCTACTCTTTGTGCTTTTTATAATTACAGTCTAAAGGAATTACTAGTATTGCTGGGTTTTTTTAAGGCTCATTTTTTGAAGGACTGTTTCATTTGTATAGCTGTAATGGAATGAAAAAGTTTCATTAATATATTGGCTTGCTCTAGCTGTAGGCTTCTTCCAAACAAACGAATGGTGTCACGTACTGTACTGCTTTCTTTTAATTTCTCTTCCTCCACAGCAGTTTTAAAGCTGTGTTCTGACATCGCCCTAATGACTGATCTTTTGTCCAAATGTCACAGTGGAATAACAGAACAGTCCACTGAATGAATCAAAAAATAACTGTCAAAAAGAAGAAAACCCAGTATGTCATCAAAACAAAATGTCAGGGCAACTGAGAGCCCTCCCTGCCCACTGCAGGCACCTTCCTCAGAGCCGAGACACCAGGGGACACGGCCAAACTCTGCTTCTCCTCAGCACTCAGGAGAGGGGAATTGTGAATGTAGCAGTTCTTTTAGCACGGGAGTCTTTAATGTTTTTATAAGGGGCTTTGTGGTGGAAAAGCTCTACCATTTCTCAAGGGTGACATAAAGCACTTTAAAAAGTATCCACTGAAGTGCCAGTTAGGCAAGTCAGTACAGTCCTCTTGGTCTGCTTTCTTGTCTGTTAGATCAAGTCCTCTAGTTGCTGACTTAGTGCTCTGTCCGTTGGGATGAGCTATCGCAGAACAACTCATCAGTCAAAAAGTTACTTGTTAATAATAATGAAAACATCTGGAGCTTCATGAACTACTTGTTGGCTATGCTCAACAGAGGGGAAAGATGTGCTTCTTAGTTTGTATTTGCCAGCTGCTGTTAGGAAATGAGATCAGAAAGGCTGGACAGAGGGGAATTGCAATATGTGCTAAAGAAAAGGAACTTTGCAGCTGATGGTGTCTAATTTGCTTTATCAGGGTTTGGAAGAGTTCAGAGAAGTGCAGATCTGTAATGTTGTTTTTGTACTGATAACAAAGTTGTAGTCCCACGTGAAACACTGTATACAAATAATTTCAGACGTGGAATACCCCTATGGCAACAAAATGGCCCAGAAATATTACTGTTATCATGTAAGATTTCAGGCCATGTAACTGTCACAGGAAATACATGAGACTAGCAGAGCTCATTTGGATTTAAGATCTAATTCTGTCTTAGAACAAAGTTGCAAAACTTATTTTATAAGGGCTAAGGGACCCATCTCTGTGTTTACAGAGAGAATTTTTGTTAATAAGGAAAACATTTTGAATTTTTAAGGTCCCACATTATACATAGCTATCAAATGTAAACCATCCAGAGAACTATACTTCTATTTTATGAAAGCAGGATAGTTTTAGAAATTCAATTTTATCCTGTATAAGAATAAAATTAAAAGTTTTAAAATTTCTTCTTATTGATCAATTCAGTCTTCTCTCTCTAGTCATTTCTCATTCTCTTATCCCTGTAGAACAGGCAGGACCTTTGAATTATGCAGTAGAAACCTCTTCAAGAAGTTGCCAATATGCAGAAGTCTTTACACTCTTTCCAGATAATTTCTAGGCAACTATAATTACATATTGGTTCATGAAAGTGAAGCACAATCAAAAATGAAACATATAAAAGGTGAAAGGGTACAGCCATAAGCTTTGTTATCAGAATATGAAAGCTAGCAACAGTTTTGATGAGTGCAACATTTATAGCCTGTGTAGTTTTTTGGTGTCATCTTTCTAGTCATATATATGTATTTTTTTTTTTTATAATGAAAATCATAGCTTTTGTACCTCCCTGTGAAATACTCCATAAGGATATCTGGACTAACAGATGGTTTTGTTCTTTAGAGTCTACATCCAATATAGACAGTGATCAGGGACCATACAAGGGAGACAGTGAATCTACTCCTTTCCCTGGAGAGTCCACAACAACAACTGTAAGATCACAACCAAGCTCAGCCCAGGTACCAGGTAGGTTTCCAAAGTCATATATTTTAATAATATGCGGACAGAATGATGTGAATATGAACTGAACAAAAATGTAGGTCAAGTATGGTTATTCTGGTTTTGTTCTAAATCAGGTAACATTCATCATATTCACTAGTAGTCTGAGAAATGGAGCATGTTGTAACTCATAAAATACTCTAGCAGTATCTAGATGAGAGAAGTCGTGTTTTGGAGAACAGGATTTAGAGATAAATAATCTTGATACTTTGATATGCAATCAGACACAATTTGAAGGTAGATGTAAAGTATCATATATGTGAAAATGTTCAGTGAAAAATATAGCTGAGACAAGCTTTGCAGAAAAAGGCTTGCGGATTAAAATGGAATAGAATAGAAAGAAGCCAACACAGTGATACAGTTGCAAAAGAATGCAAATATATTCTGTGACATATTAACAGTAAAGTGATTTTTAAGAGAGAGAAAGCAATTATCCCACTCAGTGTAGATCTGGCAAGTCCAGAGCTGAGGTACTGTATTCAGTTCAAGGCACTGAATCATACAGAAACAACAGGGAAGGGCAGAAAGATAAAGTCTGGTAAGGTAACCATAGCACGATCTGCATAAAGAACAGGGTACAGGGGAAGTTGCCATGAAATCTCCATTTTTAAAAAATCTAAGAGCAAATGGAACATTTGTCAGGAGTGTTTTTATTCACTCTGTTTCACTGGAAACAGCTTATGTGATCTCCCTTCCAGTTTCACCTCCTTATGATATTGCAGTTCCTTTTTATTTTTTAGAATTTGCCCTACAAATGCTCCTTAACTTAAGGTTTTAAATGACAAAATGAATGTAGGCATTTCACTCAAACTTTCAATCCATCCTACTTTTGCACCTAGGATTGCAGTTGTCTCAGCCTTTTCTCCTGCTCTTGAAATAAATCAGTGATACAACAGCTTTACATCTATGTCAGCCAAAGTGCAATTCTTACATATGCTGACACTGGACAGGCATTTCATCAGAGTAGGCCTGGGCATAGATGAGCACTTTTTTTGGCCACACAGGCAACATGACTGATGAAAATGTATTTCATTTGCAAAGAAGAAATTTGCAAAAGGAGCAAATATCCACTTAAACTAGAAAAGAAAGTATTACAGTTTAAAGAATGCTTGAGTGTCCATGAAATTCTGAAATTGCATGGGATGGATTAACACATTCTTCTTCTCTCCATCAACCCCCAGAATGGCTGATCATCGTTGCTGCTCTCCTGGCACTGGCGTTGATCCTCGCAGTGTGCATCGCCGTTAACAGCCGGAGGAGGTAAGGTACCCTGTACTTCTTCAAACACACTGAAGTGTGATGGGGGTGATAGAAAGAAGCACTGACACAATATTGTTAGAGACCACGTGAAATAAGAAAGATATCGGGCACATGGCGAGACAGAAATATCTACAGCTTTCTTTAAAGTTAAGTGGCTCTGGAGTTACACACCCTGAACAGCACGGCTTATTGATTTATATCTCACTCTGCTATGCCTATAAAAGCAGAGGCTGCCTTTGTTTCCTTCCTCATACCCCAAGTCACCATAGAAACAGACAAACAGGGCCAGGATGACTAATTATAGATTGCAACTGACAAGAACTGAAACGGTCTCAATGCTAAAAATTATGTCCCAGATGCTGCGAGTGGAAAACATCTCTTATGTAGAGCTGCCATGCAGCTGGGAGTGAGACCCAAGGACAGACAGTGAGCATGGGTGGGTGCGTCTGTGCGGATTCACAGATTAGACCCTAGCAGCGTGCACTAATCCCTGTGGGGAGCAATTTTTAAAGCAGGGGCGTCATCTAGTATGCTTGAAACAGGTGGAATGTTTTCTCTCACTTTAGCAGGATCAAAATAACAAGAGATTCATTTGTTCTGATAAGTGCTAACCCGCTGCAGGGTTAGCTGGGCAGTGAGGTGGGAATGTTCCAAGCATTCATTTATTTAAAAATGAGAACTACGTATTTGTTACAACATGAGTAAAGCAGCAATCTCAAGTACCTACACAAAGCAATTGGTCCTTCTCAGTGAATTGCAAATTGCTTCATCATACTGTTTTTGGTGTAGTGAGTTTTTTTATTTTCTTATTTTTTTATTTTTTTAAATGTTTAATGGCTGTTGTCTTAATTAAAACTGATGTTATCTTAAAACAAAGCAAAACCAAACAAATTGCCCAAGGTTCAGTGCAGGGCAGTTTACTTGTTTATTTATGTCTTTATTATTCCTCGTGTTGCAAAGAAGACTGCCTGTGTATGGTGTCTGTTGCCAAAAGAGTTAGAATCTCCATGCAGAGTCCCACATTTAGGCACTCACTGTCATTTCAGGAAAGAAAAAAAAGTTGCACTTTTAAAAGCCTGTGTTCCTTCTGCATTTCATGGTTGCAGAGCAGGAATGATTCCCAAGTGTGTATCCAACATTTACACAGCAAACTGAACTGCTTTGAATAAAATAACCCTCAGCTATCAGTCAGTAAGCATGAATAACAGTGATACTTAACTGCCAGATTAGTCATTCAGACAAAACCTGCTTCACTGAAAAGAGAACACTTTTACAGTACAAATTTAAAACTTTGTGTCTGTCTTAAGAGAGCTGTGCTGTGTGCATTCAGTGAACACTCAGCAGTTGAATCTTGATCCCGAGTCTGGATTTGGAACTGTCCTGTCTGTATAGTGGGATATATAAATAGTACATAAATATGGATATACCCGAATCAGAAAACCATCTCCATCTTCCAACAGCGCAACTTAGTCCCCTCTCTAGGAACAACAGATACTGGGTAGCCTGATGTAATGAGCTGCAATCCTACCCACGGCAGAGAGGTTGGAACCGGATGGTCTTTAAGGTCCCTTTCAATCCAACCATTTTGTGATTCTGTGATACTAAGTGGACCAGTGTGTTCCTGTAAAGTTTATGCACATAAATGATGCATTTTTTCAAAAATAAAATATGCAACATGGAGAAACCGTGCACTTTGCTTTGCATAGGTTTGCATTAGCAGACACAAGTTTCATTTCCAGAAACATTTTCCTAAATATTTACTTGAATTTTTCGTATTATTTATATATATAGTATATATAAATATTTACTTGAGTTTTTGTATTTCCATTATTCTCCATTTATGGTACTTATATTCTTTTTATTTTGATCTAGATGTGGGCAGAAGAAAAAGCTAGTCATTAATAATGGCAAAGGCGCCGTGGAGGACAGGAAGACAAGGGAGTTAAATGGAGACGCCAGCAAATCTCAAGAAATGGTGCACCTGGTTCACAAAGAACAGTCAAATGACCAGACAGGAGCATGTGATGAATTCCTTACCGTTGATGAAACACAAAATCATGAAGTTGACATGAAGAGCGGAGTGTAGCAGTACAAAGTCACCAAATAGATCAGTGCTGGGGAAAAGTCAAAATCACACGGACCTTGGGCAGGAATTCTCAGATGCACTGTGCTACTGATGTCTTTTGAACACAATTAAGCTTAAGTTTTTTCTTCATTTTTAATTATTTTAACATGATGTCTGAGTTACAAAATTGACATTTGCTTTCTGAAATGAGCCCCAGGTGTTGCAGTCAGTTCCCAACTCCTGCACAGAGGGCACTTACTGTGTCCTGGGCACGTGGCATGTCATTGTTCCCCAGATGCAGATGCCTTCGCTGTGCGGAGTTACAGAAGCATCCAGTTGCTCCATCTTACAGGCATTTAAGGTACTAAACTTATCGTGGTACAACAGTAAGTGAGTAACAGATGTCAAGAGCCAAAATAAAAAAGGCTTAAAACAGAAGTGCCTCCTATGCAATGCCTAACCCAGCAGAATTCACCAGCAATGCCTTCCAGCCAGGAAGAGTGGTAGGTGCACTCAAAGTCTGCCAGTAAAAGCAAAAAGTGACATTTTGTAATGATTGATGACTTGGTCTGTAACAAGAGAAACCCAGAAGGACAAAGTTTATTTATCTCTATTTTAAAATGTCTGTGGACATACAGCAAGTTTTTTTTTGGGAGGGGGAACAAAGGGAGGAAAACATGAGCTGATACATAATAAACTTCTTTGTTATCTTAACAATCTGTACATATATCCTTGATTTTCTGAGGTGTCCGTTGCTTTTCCCCCTCCCTCCTTCATGGATTACAGTTCATGTATGTTTTTTAAGGAGTCACTCAGTGAAGCTAATAAGGCAGTATGACCCCAGCTCTATGGTGCAAGCACAAATCAAGCAATTGGAAGTCATCAGAAATGATGACAGCATTTTTGTTTCTGAAGAATAGGTCTTTCTCTCTCCCTGCTCCATTTTAATAGGAGATGCAGTTTCTCTCATAACTGTTGTATTGCACCAGTTTGCCAATATTTTGAAAAGTTACTTTTGTATGATCTTGCTCACTTCTGATTTGTTTCATCCACTTTTTCTTCTTCTAGTCAAAAATGCCAAAGGAAAAACTGTTTTTTTATTGATAACAGAAGTTGAAATTTTACAGAAAAGATCAATGAAATTTTAAGGAAACTCTCCCAGTAATGTAATACAGTAAAATAGCTGCATCTGCATTGTCATAAACTTTTGTTTTGTCCTTCTATGTCTGTTATGTGAAGTATTTGTATTAAGCAATGATGCTGTGCATTATATTGATATGAACTGCCAGAAAGAAAATTATTTACTACCAATGATCTGTGCTATTTTTAAGAAAGCATATTGGAGTGGAGAGTACCTTCTAATTGGGCTGCCTCAGAAAAATGCAAGTAAAAAGACCGGAGATCACTGCAAGCAGTGAGGTCTGTGTTGGCTGGGATGGGGAATGTTTGGTAAGAGATGTTCAGAGGTATCTGCTCCCTGACCACAGCACCTGCACTGGAAAATGTTCTGCTAACACAGGTTACTTTATGCTCTCCGTCTGATGCAGTGCAGAGGATGGGCTTTCAGCTGGCCGCATACTAACATAGGCTAGCACTGATCTTTACTGGGGCACCAAGCACAACAAAAATTGTGATCATGGTTCTCAGTTTAGAGCCCTTCAGCAGCTTCCCAAGCATTCCATTGAGTTGCTCAGAGCCCTGGTATCTGCAGGCAGACCTCCTCAGGGAAAATGTGCACCTGGGCAAAAGGTCCCAAGATGAGGTGTGATTTCAGTGTGCGCATAGGATGCTTTCTGACTCTGTATGTCTCATCTATGAGCAGTCCAAGAGTGCTCAAACAAGGTGAAGTCAATAAGGACAAGGTGACATACGCTGTCAGTACATGGGGCCCGTTGTTAAACCTCTAAGCCAACCATAAGCACATATTTCAACACTGAGCTGTGCTGTGCAAAGTCTGTTGACAGTCTGCATCGGTTTTTGTTTAATTCCCATACGGCCGGATTTTCTATTTCTCATTATAAATCAGAACAATCTATTGAAGGCTGTGTTTAAACTGGTGTTACATATGTATTTCTCTAGGTGTGGAGATCCAGAATAAGAATTTTGCCTCTTCTTAAATCTTAATTTATTATAAGCCTCAGTCAGAAGGAGATAAGTCTTGATGGGTGAATGTTCTTAAAAAATAAAAATAAAAAGGGCCAGGTCATGTTATTCATCTTCCTATGGAGATGTTGAGAAAATGGGGAAATCCACCAAATCTTTCTAGTTTATCTAATGCTCAGTACCTATAGAAGTATGGACCGTACTTGTTGGCTTCTTGTTATATTTGTTATATGGAGATGCTCAATTTCTCTTTAAAAAGGCAGTGCCATTATTTTATATATGCTGATTCTTTTTAGGTTATGTTGTGCAAATAATGCATAATTAAGTTTCATTGTAGTTTCAAAACTAGATGGCCATTTCATACATGTAATATAGTGCATATTTTTATTAATCTTGGTTTTATTATTTCAGGGGTTGTTTGTTGCGTGTATGTATTTTTTTATATAGAGCACTAGATATATTTGCATATTTATTTAATAGATTAATCAATGTTAAAGAAAATATCATCTCTAAATTGTAATTTAAAAAGTACTGCCAAAAAATACCACATGGAACTGTAAAATAAGCTTCCAGAAATAAACTTGGTTCCATGTTGAGGGTAAGTGAGGTCAATGTTGCTAGTGGGAGAGGAGAAGCATTTGGCAGCGTGGTCATACAGAGCCACGGGCAGATCTCCTGCTTGCAGAACTGGCTGTAGGCTGTGGGACCTCTCGTGCTCCACCAGCTTCCAGTGGGCCCCCATCTCCATGGGGTTAGCGACAAGCTCAGTTCCCTTGGAGCACAAATCTTGGTCCAAGTTGAGGTCAATGCAGTAAGGTAGAAATAACATTTAAAGCAGGAAGTATATTTAAAAGAGAGGTGATTGATATTTTTACAAGAATGTAATATTTTCATTGAACAATCCTGGGTGATGGTTTCACCTGTATTTTCTTGAAGATTCTGAAAGGAATGTTTGATTAAAGCAGAGAAAGGATGTACAGCCTTCGTCTCTATCTGTGTGCATGTTTTAAAGCCTTCTCAAAACATCAGTTCCCAAGTGATATTTCTGTATAGCATTCTTTCCTTCATGTGAGGTCTCCTGCACGTCCTTAGCCAAAAAACACGACTGCCAACTACCACTGCACTGAGTGTATGTTGGATGGAATATTATCAGAGAAAATTTCCAGGTGTCTCATAGACTCTGACAAAGTCACACAGAGGCAGAGGTTTGTCCATCACCCTGGTTGGGATTTCTCCTCGTCGTTCTTTCTATAGATGAAGGGGAGCAATAAAATCCTCTGAGAACACTGTTCTGCCTCTGCTTACACAACACCAGCCATTTGTTTTATGCTACATTAGGCTGTCAGCCAGCAATTACTTTGTGGCCTTATTAAACAGTTCAAGGCTCAGACATCTCTGGTTGCAAGAGATTTGATTTGTTAAAGAGCATATGGTTACCTTTGAGTAACCACATGTACTGATGTGTTTTCCTCTGCAGAGGTGAAAGAAACAGAGACGGGAGCAGAAATGCTGACGTGGGCAGATTCCTGGGTTGTAGCTCCAGATTTGTGGGTATAGGGGACAAAGCTCTCATCTCTTTTTCGGGGCAAGAAGCATGAAACAGTGGGAACTTTGGGGGTGGGAACGCCAGAGGTTTTGGTGAAGGAAGAGTACAGTCACTGGAAGACGAAATGGAGACTGAGTAAAATTTCTTTGCCACCTACTGGGAAAGTCCCCCAGTATCCCCAGGACTTTGGCATTTGAATGATTTCATGTTTCAGATAAGGAAAAGAGTATCAGCCTGTTCCTGTGAACTCCCCCACCTCCAGGTCACCTTCTGCATTCACCACCTGATTTGCAAATGGCTTTTGACCAGTTTTCCCCTGGTAGATTACTTCTCACCATTACTCATCTGTGTCTGTGCGCGCTCACCAATGCCCTGCTGAGAGCACCCAGCTCTGACTGTGGGAAACGAGAGGCAAAGCTCAGGCTACACGAAGGTGACTAACAGCACCTCGTCTTCTCTCTGCCCATCTCTCCCATCTGGAGCTGGGTGTGCTACAAGATTTCTAGTCGACTTCTGTCTTCACAGGTCAGTTGTGCTGCAGCATGGTTTTTTGAAAAGCTGAAGATGCCCTGACCTCAAGGGAGCTGTTGTTGTTCAGGTGCAGCGGAAGAAGAAAAAGCAGTGAAAGCTTTATATGTGCTTTAAACACAGCTTTCTCTAAGATTTGCTTGAATGGATCCAACAGAAAGGTTCTGTCTGAGCTACAGCTTCAAGGCTTTGCACACTTCTTATTAAATCTTTGTACTCTATAGGCAAAAGGGGTTGGGATGAACAAGTGAGGGTTGAAACCCAAGGTCACACATTCTTTGACGTGTATTGAACTTTGATGTCAATATCATTAGTTTTGTGTTTTCTTTCAGAAGAAAGACATGAAGATGATGATGCTATGGATCAAAACAGGTGCACAAAGGCTGTCAAATGAGTAATATTTTTTGTTTCAGAAATAGACAGTTTAGTTTTAATATATCTGATTGAGTTTTAATATATCTGATTGATAGATTACATTTTTTTGGGGGGGGCGAAGGGGTGGAGAAGATGCCTAATATATAATACAACTATCTATTTGTACTGTGATATTATTAAAAGTAAATTATTTCCTGTTACAAAAAAAAAAAAAAAAAAAAAAAAAAGCCTGGAAATTTACAAAAAAATAGGACTTGTCAAGTCAAACAGGATCCAACACAACTTTAAGTGTATCCATCAGAAAACTAAAACTTTTTTTTACACTATGAGTAAAAAAGTCTCCCTCTGTAGCACCACTGAACAGACTGCAGATCAACAGCAGCTCCATTCTGGTGCTGGATTGAGGCAGGTGGCTGCATTGCAACGCCAAGGACACAGCAGAAGTTGGGGGCACGTAGGCAGCACTGGGAAGCCAGCATGCAGCTCAGAGACAGCGGTTGTTCTACTCACCAAAAGGATTTGGCTGCCAAGTTAATCCTGACTTCCTTCAAATTCTGAGAAAGAAAGAAGAGAGGAAGAAACAAGAAGGCACTTTCAACCAGAGACTGTAAGTTTGCACCTTATGTCTGAAAGCCTTGGGCTACTGTGCTAGGATGGTGTTAACCTAAATGTCCATCTTGCAGTGGTTTGTTACAGCAGAGTTTTAGCCTGAAATCTGAATTTACTTTGCAGTCATGGGTCTATATCTGCATTCTGGCACCACGTTCTCAAAAGCCTACTCTTTTTCCTGGCTTAATCCAAAAAAAGCTTAGATAATTTTCATCAACCACATTTTCTTTGGGTGTATAAGACTCCATCCTTTCATTTTACGCGGAACAAGCTGGATATGTTTTGCCCAGAGATCAGATCTAAGTTCTGAGTTTATACTCACCATTTTTTATCAGCCTGTCCTCGTTAATAAGAAACATCTGTCTGGGGGCTGCTGATTGCTATCAGCATGCTCTCTGGAGCCAGCACAGACACAGCTGCCAGCAGACTGCAGCTTGAGCCTATACGATGAGTTGAGCCCTCCAAAGCCATGCCCAGTGCCCACAGATCAGGATCTCAGCTGGCTGCCCCACAGCTCCTTCACTCCTGCAAAGTCAGCCTTGCAATTATCACCACCATTTGGCATATTTTGCTTTGCAGCAGTGAGCTGTCAGATTCACCAATGGGGACAGCTTTATGGTGGAACTTCCCTGCACTTCTTTTGTGGTTTGTTCTCTAGTTATTGTTTATTTCACTTTTCAAGAGAAAGTCTGAAATACGCTCTAGGTGAGGATGCTTTTTTGTTCAGGTAGTGACTCAAAACCAGTGTTCCTTTGTTCACAAAGGGTGAAGGTCCCCATGCAGAGGCAGGCACAGAGCCTACATGCTGGTTACATGCCCTTCACGTGGCAGAAGCAGAGCTCAGGCACAGCTCAGAGGGCTGCTTTTCTGCAAAGGTGAGGGCTTTGCTCACTGAGCCTTTTTCGAGCATTCTCCACACATTCAAATATTGTTTGTAATGGTAAGATGAAAGTTTGTTTAGTGCTGGTAATTCAGGTAATCCTGGCAATGTGTGTGAAACACACAGTGAATTTGTGGGTGAATTTCTTCAGCTCTCTCAGTTTGGAGTCAATCCTCCTCCTTCTGGGACACCTCCACAGCAGTACCTCTCACCTGCTGCCTGTGGGCTGTGGGAGCATGAGGCAGGAAGACCCCGGCACCATGTGGATCAGTCTCACAAATGAGAACGGAGGACACACTCTGTTCAGTTTAGCCATGGATGAGCAGCTTTGCAGCTCTGTGAAGGGCAAGCCCTAGGATGCTTTCTTAGACACCTGAAGCTGGGGGTCTGGTTCCTCCGCTGCCCCTCCCCGTGGGTTTCAGTTGCCAGCTTTGCTATCTGTCACTGGTGATGTGCTTTGCTTATCACTGCAGAAACTTTCTTCCATGCCAACATCTCTGTGGCTGCACAGCCCGATACCGAGTGCAATCTCACTTCCTTCCTGCTTCCCTTGTGGCTCCACACTGCTGTGCGGCGAGGCCCGGTGCCAGCAGGCCGCACACGGCCGCCCTCGCTTCCCCTCAGCACAGCAACCCCAAACCTGACTTGTCCTCTCCAGCCCTGTGCTTGGTGCAGGGGTGCCCAGCAGCCTGTCTAGAGGTTATTTTTAATGCTCTTCCCCTCCTCAGGCATGGCACGTTGGGGACACCTGTTCCTTTCACAACCTTGTCTTGTTTGCAGGCATCAGAACAACAGAGGAGGCTGTTTGAGTTCTAGCAGCCCTCAAATCTCATCTCTTTTGCTCTCAAGTTGCAAGTAACGGGGAATAGCGAGTGCTAAAGAGACTGGAGTCGTTATGGCAGCAGTATATGTGAACAGGGCCAGACCCGGATGTGGTAACATCCTTCCTCTGGCAGTGCGTGCCTCAGACACGCGGAGGTGTGAAGCAGGTTTTTAAAGCAACTGCAGCCAACTATCGCATCCTCCTACTCTCCTAACATTTCTTCTTCCTCCTCCATCCTTCATTGCCAAGGCTGTTCTAGACTTCACTGCAGTAAGCAGATGCTGGACTTCATGGCAAATCAGCTCAGCTGCAGCCGGTTCTCAGGGACATTTGGGGTATACAGCTCAGTGGGTGGATTCCTGGCGCAATGGCAAACCCAAGTCCACCTTCTGCCCTGCCTGCATCTCTTAGCTTCTCTCATCCATCCATCTGCTTTATCTAAACTCCTACCCAAATCATGCGAGAATTCAGCCCTGGCTGAGAGCAAAACTCACAGATATAAGGCAGGAAAATTAGGAATCAACATTTATTGATGATATATACAGAAGAGGTACAACACTTAGTGAAATATTATATTCGCGACTATTTCCAGTATAGAAAGAATGTCCAGTTTGTTTTATACATGAAAGTTACAGAAATCAGTTCACACCGTAAGAAAGCATTAAAACCAAATGACTACAGATAACTGTAAAGGTCTGAACTACAAAAATAGAATTAGTCTACAAAGCATTCCAGCTACAATATACAAGAACAGAGCCCGGAGTTGGGAGAAATTTTATCATCTGCATTCATTAGTTAATAAAGTGTGCTATAGTTACTGTACAGTATGTTTCAAAATCTGGGGAACTTCTTGAGAGAAACAAAAAGAACCAATCCCATTCCTATTGCTTTTTATTCCTTTCAGGTGAAACATATGAAAATATTCCATCTCGTGACTCTCCTCCACTTTTAAGAGGAGGCAAAGGGTATCAGCAGCAGGAGCAGGCAGTGTGCCGTCCCATACGTTGTGATTCACACTGAAACACCGTAGGAGGACTCACCAAGGATACTTCCTGTGCTTTGGGACTTGATTTTGATCACTTTCCACTTAATGGGGCAAGAACATATTTATGAGAACCAGACTCAGGTACCTTGGGCATGAACCAGCTTTTGTTTGCCTTCCCACCCAAACTCTTTCAGAACCACCTTCAGCTTCCGCCCCAGAAAAGTCACTTTCTTACAGATCTCAATCATAGCTCTTAGTTCTGAAGAATTTTGCCACTGAATACACAGTTCACGTCTGCTGTAGGATCAGACCTACTTCTTGTAAAAAACAGTCCCCTGGACTTCAACCACAGTGGTTCAAGAAGCACTTAGCTCTGCACTTATTTCCAGCAGTATTTTCTAGCATATTTTCCTATCAATATCCTTTTCAAACAATGTCAAAAGCAGTGGATCCCTGCCCATGAGTCACACACTGCACAAATAGCAGAGAGGGCACCTAGCAGGAAAAATTGATTTTCCCCTTGCTCATTGTGCTAATTTAAACAGTGGCTTACTGAACTTCTGGTGCTAGAGTCCCAACATGTCAAGCAAACAAGAAGGAACAAAAAAACGAATCACTCCATGTGTGCATTAGTTCTTAGTGTCATAACAAGTGCACTCATGAGCCAGCACATTGATGCTGGCATCACTTTCTCTCACTACCAGGGAAACACACACATGCAGGTACTGACATGTACCATGCCAGTCAGAGAGCTGAAAACTAGAACAAGATATTTACAATAAGTTGGCTGCATACGTTATTCTGAATGTTATCAGAACAGAATAGTCCATAATCAACTGATAAAGCAGCTACTAAGCTATGAAACCGACTCAGTTAAATGGCCAGAAGGAAAATGCCAGACAAAAGAACAAAACCCAAAAGTAGAACAGAATTTTGAAAGTCAGCCTAATTTCCTACGATGGCTCAGTACACAATGACCAATTAAATTAAATTAATGCACCACTACCCATACTGTACACACCATTTCACTGAAATTACACATTGATAGCTACATTATCTACACTAAGTGCAGAGAGGCACTGGACATCATGCTTCAACAAAATGTCAGAACTGGTAACAATAAGGTTTTACAGCTATTTGAACTATTCTACCTGCAGTTCTTATTAATACCTGGTACAAGTGATCTAAAGTACAAGAAAGATTATAATACAAGGGTACATCAACACATCTTCCTACATGACTATCTACTAGAAATTTAGCCTCCAAAACCTCAGCAGAATAAGACGGCCCCACAGAGTTCTGAATAAGTGGAGAGATAGCAAGTATCAGTTACACTGGGACAGTAGTATTTGCTTCTCAATGTTTTGCTTTGAATCAAGGAGCTAGCTGGCCATAAAGAAAACTACACGTGATACAATTGTTATTAATACTTATATATATATGTATATTTTAATTCCACTCCAAACAGTTCTTTGTTCTGTAAATAAAAATAATTGTAGCCACGGCCTTAAACGCCAACAGGAATTTGTCTAACGGGAACAGAGAGCAGTAAAAGAGGAGAAATTTCCACTTGTCCTAGTCAAAAAATATAGTGTCTGATCTCTTTAAAGACATAAGAAAGCAGGAGGTATTTCTATGGATGCTACCCAATTGCATTGGTCCCATGGTGGTTTTGTTGGTCCCCTTTCAAGAAGGCAAACATAGGTGGCCAAGTCATGAAGTCTTTCTGCAGGCTGAACTCATGTACATTGCACTGTTGCACGATGGACTGGGTACCTATTTTTTGCCTACCCAGATGTACAATTTTCTTTAATCAGTAGTATGAGTCAGTCAGTTATACATGATCAGGTCCTAAGAAAAATCTGCAGGATTTGGCAAAGGTAACACCAGGAAAAATGACAAAAATGAGGGGCGATTGCCCAAGACAGTCAATCTAAAAGATTGTTCAGGTTATTATAACATTGTTCCATAATGAACTGCAGCATTTGAGGACATCTTGAAATTCCTATTTGCTTCTTGCATTTTGTGCTTTGTTTATAATTCATCACTAAGCATATCACAGAAGTATTTCATTGATCCTAAATGTTATGAGAAAACTGGTTTTGTTCTAAGATCAGCTTTAAAGGACTACCTTCCTATCTATCATACAAGGTCATATAGAAAATATAAGAAAATATTAGAGTCTGTAAATTACAGATACTAGGTAATTTAGTTCAGTCTACACTGTAGTTTCCAGAGAACAAGTACAAACCCCTAAAGCCTATATTAATAACTGAATCAGTACTGAGTATAGTGTATTTAACAATATAAATACATATGCAGCTTTTTCTCATGCATTCTAGAAGCTACAGTTCACACCGGATCATAGGAAATGGGCTATATTTAAGAAAGGGGCAGGATATGTTGGGTAGGAATGTATGCAATTGTCTTTAAGAAGGAAGGACAACCTGTAGTGCACAAGGACTCACAAGCCCATGCATAACACCAAAATGGACATGCCACAATCCACAATAGCGACTGCAAAATCAATTTGTAAACACAGTTTGCACACAGTCTTTTAAAAACTGTAGAAAAGAAATAGAAAAGAAAGATAGAAAAATCCCTGCACGCTACCCTATTTATGTACATAACGATATACAGGTACCAGACAATCCAGGTTGTGCGATGCTGTCTATGACAGTTTCCCTTCATGTAGTGGTGTATGCCACAAAGTGTCATTAAAAACAATTGCAGGGCTCCTGAATTTTGAACAATCATACTAGAAGGATTGGATGCTGCAGCATCCAGCAGCATTGGCTCCGTAGCAAAACACCGATAGAGATGAAAGCGGATTAAGGTTTGGGCGAAGCAAGAAATCTCACAAGTCTTCCTGCTTCTCCCAATCCAGTGTTAGTTTGTTGGCTGTTTCCATCTTGGGCTAGTAGAGACCTACTCAGTGACTCAGTCTTATGCTCTAGGATTTTTTCATGTTCAGAGTATGGGTTTTCTGTAAGAACTCTAGCTGCAAAAGCACAACCACCTTACCCATCAGCATTTGTACTGATTCAGTAATGGGAAGCCACCAAGCCTCCCCCAGCCAAGGGGAGATATTGCTGGGATGGTGGGCACAGCCAAGGGAGAGCACAGAGCCCTGTGCCAGGGAGCCCATTCATAAGAGAAAGGGAATCATCAGCACCTGGGCTGTTCAGCTATGAGCAGTTCAGCTCATTCATAGCAGCAGACTTCAATTTAATATCAGATATAATTAGAAGGAAAAAATGAGGGAGGCACTCCTTGTACAGCATAAAGCAGTGAGTCCTGCCATAGGCATGCAGAACTGGAGCCTGTGCTTTTCTGAGGCTTACTGAAAGCTGTCTGTGGGGAGGTAAGATCAATGACTTTCAAAGGAAAATGGACTTAATACAGCATTATAGGTAAATTTTGAACTAGCACATGTCACTTAAAAATAAGGTGGTAAAGATGAACTGTCCTTTTGACACTTCTGCACTGTAATTCCTTTCCTCCCCAGTACTCTATGCCATCCTCTATTTCCAGTTATTCAGCCAATGGAAATTGGGTAAATATTTTTCCCTCAAAATCATCAATATGATTGGAGAAAAGAAAATCACTCTTCATTCAGAGAGTGTTTTCTAGCAGGAGCAGGACTGCCCACGCAGTCCTATGCAGGGAAGAAAGCACAACAGCCAAGGTGAGCTACACCAGTACTATGATTAATATGAAAAATATCTTAATGGGGTCCTTACAAGTCACAGTAATAAAATTGAGGGTAATCTCTGGCTCATAACAGACTAATATTACAGTACATTTTTATAAAGTGCCCTTATTTAGCCTTCTGTAAATTAATCCAAATGCAGCAATAAGAATAGACTAATGGAGCTACTGAAATGAGAAACAGTTACACCTTATGTCTCCACAAAAGGATTTTTCTGAGCCTGGTACTAAAGCTCAGAGCCTTTTGAAACTTATTTACAGAAGTGAATCTCAGAGGTAAGATTTAATACTGCCTGTGTTTGGGGGGATTTGTGCGATTGCTGCTGTGTTGCTACAACAAGGCTGCAACAACACAAGAGAAGGCGAGGAAACAAAGACAACCCAGACAGTTGCCAGAACAAATTTGTTCAAACACTGCTGCTGCGGTTTCTCCTATGAACAGTCGGTTCTTTTGTGTATCAGCTACCAGAACTGTAATGGCACTGGCAGTGCTGGAAAACAAATCAGAAATCCGTACCAGTTTTACTTCCAGGTGCCTTTTAAAGTAGCACGTGGAATTCCATGTGCTTTGAGAAAGAAATGAAAATTAGCAGTATGTCGAGGAAAGAACAGAAAAAAAACCCACCTTAATGACAGTAATCCTTATTTGTGTGCTGAGTTTTAAACTCAATGCTGGACTTGTAGGATAATTAGGAAAAAAACAAGCATCTTAACAAAAACTTTGAGAACCGAGAATCACCTTCATCTTAAGCAGCAGACAAAGACTGTTGCCTCTGATGGGATTGTGAAATCCCTTAGTACTTAGCAGAGACAGGAAGAGACTTGACCTTTCCTGGAAGCCCGTGATTCCCCTGGATTTCAGTGGAACTTTCACGCAGCCAGAACATTGCCGGCACAGGTTTTACTACAGCAAGCATAGTTTTTCAAAGACGTAACGAGTTTCTCACTGATTCAAATGGAAGAAGCACACTTCACATCATGGCTCACATGGCTTGTGCCCTACCTATCTAAAGCACATGTGTAAGAGCCACGTGTTTCTCACAGTGCTGGTGCAGCCTTTGTTTTCTAAGGGAAGAAATGAAGAAAAAAAACCGAAGGAAAGAGTTCCATTTTTTTTTAGCTTTAACGTGTGGTGTGCTTTAGTTTCAGTGAATGGATATAAAGAGAATGCTGACTTAGCTTCAGCAGTGAATGCACAAAATAAGTGTGTAATTAAGCATGCAATTAACTGACTCTTCACCTGGTTTAGACTTCTCCATGTGCCAGTGCACTGTCAGCAATGCAGAGGGCAAAAGGTATCAGCTGCACAGACAACAAGGAGCTGACAGAGAAGCATGCAGGGTGAGCATTGGAAAGAAATGTTAATTTCTCCAGGAGCTGCATGGAACGCTAATCACTTTCTACTGTGTTCTTCTTTTAACATTGCTACCCCAGCCCTGGAAACAAACACAAAATGTTTGCCACATGCAAATGCATTCATCAACACCTTCTAGTGAAACTAAAAAGAGAATGGTCAGTGGTCAGCCCTGCCTGCTGAAATGTGAACTTGCATTAGCTGAAGTGGCCAGTCCCTGGGTTAGTTTCTGTTTATTTAGTTAAGTAGCAACCCAGCCTCATGTGGAATGAGCAAATCGAGAAATGCAAGCCAAGAGTGAGTTACATTTTCCCAGCAAAATGGAAAGCTTTTGATGGTTAAATACAGTGCTGTGCTGGAGTAACACTATATTAAATATTCAGCCAGGGTAAAAGCAGAGAGGTTTACCAAAAACAACATTTCTCCTTCTCCCACATCCACATTTAAGTGGAGAAATGCGATTGCAATTATTTCTTGAAACATCCCTGAGTTACTGTATCTATAGAATCACTATTTTAAAATCACAGCCTGCTATTCCAGTCCCGTCAAAAGGCCCACATTTATTTTCCCCTGTGTGGGTGGAGTTTCTCTAACGTCTCATTCCTTCCTCCCCTAGTCTCCATCCGAAGAACCATTCTTCAAAAGACAGCACGTCCCAAGCGGATATGCGTAAGCACATTGTAAGTGTTTCTCAATATGCAATTTTGAGGAGCTGCCCAGTCACACATTGCTGGCATCCCTTTTCATTTCCAACCACTGAACACTTTCAAAATACAGCTAGAAGTCTACGGACTGGTTTTCCAAATTCACTCACAAGACCTGTGGTTGCTGTGGCTGCTCTTCAGGCTGGTGAGCAGGCATCCGAGCCGGGCTGCCAGGTGCTGCCCCTTGTTCACCACTGCCCTAACCAGCCACAAATACGGCGTCTTGCTCTCAGGCAGGCCCGGCGCTCCAGTGTCAGCAAGCTGCTCACAGCACAAGCCTGCACCCTCAGAGGAGGGAAGGCTTTGGGGCACCTGCAGCCTCCCCAGGCACATCTCCGGCACTTAATCCGCAAGTAACGTTGTTTTCACCTGCAGACTAGGGCCCCAATCCCGAGATAATCTTAATACCCAGACATTCTGTTCAACACAAACAGAGCAAAGTCAGTGACCTCCTGCTTCCTACCCTTGCCATCACAAATGCACTTTCTTAAAGTATTCGCATTGGTTCTCTTACGTATTCAGAGAAGCAGCAACTGAAGGTTAGTTCTGGTTATTTTGATATCAGTGACCAAAGAAAAAAGACCACCTGCCTACCACTTCTCTGGATATTCTACTGTTCTGTACATCACAAATCATCCTTAAGATGATTCACAAGACCTGTAGAAAAGGTATCCACCTCTGATACATATTAAAGGCCTACAGAATTCACAGTGGTTCTATACTTGCTAGATTATTCAAGCTGACTTGCTTAGGATCATTGTGATGAGTTGTGAGAACAAAATACAAGGACAAAAAAATATTCCACACCAATGAAAGCATGACAAGGGGTGCTCTGACAGTGAACTTCGACTTGCACATAATTAAGAGCGTGTGCAGCTTTTTCAGAGGTCTTTATATGAATGCAGAGGAGGAAAAGCACATTATATTTATATTCTAATAGCTTCTATAGAGCCAAATACAGTCCACAGTTAAACACACAACTTCTGCTTAGACCTACAACAGGTCTTGAGCACAGATGCTGAATTGCCCATGTCTCTAAATGTTTTAGCTCTTTTCTCTGCCATTTCTAAGCTCACCATTCCTGAGAACCCCTGAGAGTTCCCCCAGACCCTGCACAGGGCCCACTCTGTGGGTACAGCCTCACAGGGTCCACCTGGCTCAGATTTGCTATAGAACATCGTTAGTAGTAGAGAGGCATTCACCAGAGTCTCAAAATTGCAAAGTATTAACAAGCACCTTTAAAAACACAAGGCGATTATTGCAACTGCAATTTCTTCTGATAGGATGAATAAGCTATAGTACGTTAACAAAACACCATCTTTCTAATGCAGATGCCATGTACTCTTAGAAACTTTTCTGACAAGAGATTTATATGAATCATTACTCTGCAAAGGAGAGAAAGACAGAAGGATATATTCAATGCATTGGTCTAAATCCTATAACTTTAGCTTATTCTTCATCAGTCCAAATCCTGGCCAAATTCTAGTAACCTTAACCAGGAATTTGGCTTACTAGTAATTTCAGGATTTAGTCATTCTGTGACATATGGCATGCTTGGAAGACACTTCATGCCACTGATGGTTACATTCAAAACTTCCCAATTTCTTAGTGTAATATACTCAGAATTTACTTACAGAGCATTATCAAGTACCCAGTCATGACATCCTTGCTCACATTCAGTAGTATCTTATTTGAGTAGCCCCTTCCTCATGAAGACTCCCTCTGACATCAGTGAAATAGGGTGAATAATAAGGTGCTACCTACTTTGATTAAGAATGACATAATTGAGCCCATGGTGCTCTATGTTTTGTACAATTGGCATGGATTTAGGAATGATCACCCCTGCAATAATACTGCCTTGTGTTACGTGATGCACTGCGGTCACAATAAAATGTGACCTAATAAAATGGGGGTGGCATCTGCCCTGGACAGCTGATAAAAATACATCGCATGCACATGCAAATCTAAGGTCTTAATGCCAAATATTAATTGTACTAGTCTAACAAAAAGTCCGGGATCATTTATTGACTTCCACATAGTAATCTTGCCCCTGGATCTCAGTTCTGTTTGAAGTACAACTAGGCACAAAAATTCAGTGCTTCCCATGTCAGGAGCTTATTATTATTGTAACAAATAGAAAACTTTATGGACACTTTCAAAAGCTGTTTCAGCCATACAGTGCTAACTAGATCAATTATGCCACAAGAGTCACTGAATCACTAGAAGGCTTGCATGAAGTTATATTTTTCTGTAACTATTTGTGACCCTGAGTCCCTTTAGTGAGCCGTACTGGCATTATGATCTTTCCATTTTGCAGCATTTACATTCTCTGCGTCTTGAATGAACAGGAAGGCAGGTGAGAACACATCACACTGCATGGAGTATTCTTCAGCTGCATTGTCCAAACAGTAACACAAGGGAGACAGATGGTTATGGATCACTGTTTGGCAAAGACACTACATTGACTATATGAGATCTTTGCTAAGTGTCAGTTAAGAAATTAAGCAGAAACTGTAGATGTTAAAAAAAAAAAAAGAGAGAGAGAGAGAGAAAAAAAAAATCTTCCTTGATCGTGATATCTTTTACCAGAAGAAAGCTTCAGGATTTATTAAAGATGGAGCTGGGAATCTCTTCCCTTAGTTTTCACGTTTCCAAGGCTCTTCTTCAACACTGATGTCTGCGGATTTGCCATTGGTTGCCAGTGTTACCTGCAAGTAATTATCATCAACAACTGACTTAAAGGCCAAGGCACTTTGACAAGAAAAGTCATTACTTTTAGAAGGAAGATCATGATATTTACAGGAACTAGATACACCACATCTTATTATATATGAAAAATATATTTATTCAGAATTCACATCACTCACAAATAGTGAGATTCCTGTGAATTTTATATGCTGGCAAGAAAACACTAACAGTAGAAAAAATGTTTCCTATTTTCTTTGTTGTAGTTTTGTTTTTAGTAACTGTTTCAGGTTATACTCCTATCGTCTATAATTTTTTTTTCTGGGTTATTTAAGCAACAGATTTCTTCGTCTGTTTTGATCTAGGAAGTTGTACTTTTTTAGTAGAACTCCTTCACAGAACAAGATAGCTGACGCAAGGATACAAAAAATGTACAAGGCCAGAATAATCACAGATATGTATCTATAGAATCTCATCTACAATTACACTACCTTTAAAGAAAAGGAGCAGAAGTTACGCTGTGATAGCATTGTTCATTATATCACTACTTCTTATAGAGTAGTGAAACTTTATGACTATAGTCAGACCAAAAATCCATAGTAATGCTTTTTTTGTCTCACAAAAATTACAGCACATCACTCTTGGCCATAAAGATCTGTGCTATATTTTGTTTATTTTATAGTATGGTAGAAGACCTACAGTGATCTACCAACTCACGGTGAACAGTGCCCCATAGGTTGCATCCCAGAAAGAGGTACTTCAATATATACTTCAATAAAGGTAGCTCCAGACAAATGACTTTTAAAAAATGAAGAAAAAAAGATAAAATGTTGGTTTAACTTTATAAAAGTGATCTAGATCTTTATAACTGCAAGAGAACCTTTCTTTTAATGTCAAATGGATAGCTTAATCTTTCCTAACTTACCTTGTAAAATAACATCCTCAGCTTCAAATGAAAACTTAAAGACAGAGATGAAATTCCCCATGCTGGATAAACTGTATGCATGGAAGCATTGGGGCATGGAAACATGACAAAATGCACTGATTTTGAAATGAAGTCAAGCTTTTTCTTAGATAATGGAAGGGGAAAACATGCAAGTACAGGAATGAACAGCTTATTCAGACATTAAAATCACATCAAGTCATTCATGTGAAATGTGATAATAAAAAAATACAAAAACATCATGCAGTAACATCCACTCTACCCCCATGTAAAGGTACACTACTTATTAAAAATGTACATTGACCATGCAAAATTATAAACTAGTAGTACAATACACGGAGTATACTACAGACTGTAAATAGAAAGCACATGCTAGCAGATTAGCTTTTGAAAACTCTGACCAGAGTTGCAGTGAACTTTTCACTCCACCAGGACATTTGACAGGATGAAGAGAAGTCATTTCAGATTTAACGAACGGCTGTTTTGAATCCCCAAATCCTATACTCTTTTGCTTTTGATACTCTAACACTTAGGAGCTGTAGACCACTTCAACATCCAAGTGCTTTGCAAATGTCAGGTTATGTTCATAGCTTACAAACTGGACAGTAACACCACATCCTCTTGGCAGCTTGCAGATAGACAAATGACCCACTCAAAGTCAGTCTTATGCCCTATCCAGTAAACCCTGGCTCTGTTCATGAATTTAAAAGTGCAAAGTGAAAGCCCATAAAACAATTCAAAAAAAAAAAAAAAAAAAAAAAAAAGGGCAAAATACTTCATAAGTTACTGGTCCCAGATTTCTACTAAAGAGCATACTTAGGATGTTATACTGCACCATGAGTCCATGTCTTTGAGGTAAAACAGTAACTCAACTGATGGGAATCAGAAGAGAAACTGAAGGAGAAAAGAAAGTACAGTAAATACAGTATCAAAGGTGATTAGTTTCTGGCTTGGCATGGATCTCTGAGAGATGGAAAGGAGTATTCAGCTCCATCAGCCTGATTCAGAATGATCCATGCTAACTGTATTTGTCTTAAACTCAGTGAAATTAGAATATTCTCCAAAATAAATAATTTTGAAAGAAATTAATCAAAAAAATCTTGAGATATTTCTTTTCAAGTAAATTCCTTCTTCTTTTGTTGTTTGCTGTATTTTGTTTGTTTGTTTTGTTTTCCCCAATTCAATATCACTTTGTCCACTAGCAATTTAGGTTTGGCCTGACGTTATCTAGAAGTAAGCATTTGAAAAAAAGGGTATTCTAAAGAATGCTTCCAGACAGGCCACAGACAGGTGAAAGGACTAGAAGAAAACTTTCTCTCCAATCTATGTGGTTATCTGCTAAAGGACTTATTGTAAGCATTCACAGTTAGATACTGGCTCAGTTGTGGCATCTAAAAGATGCAAGAGAATCTTCTTGGTTAAATGGCTGATGTAGGCTCACTGTGTCAAAGACAATGTAGAGGATCAGATTAGAGAAATAAATTAAAAATAATAATTTTCAAAAGATTTTGAATTTCAAAAGAAATTAAAACTTCTAGCTTGTTAACAGTTTCTTTCTTCTCCTTTTCATTTAAAAACTCTCTTGATTCTAAACTGCCCTGTCCTAGTGGTGGGTGCTTTGTAAACTTCTAGCCATTAACCACCCCAGCTGTCTTCTCCTTCAACCGGTGGGGTTTCTCAAGCTCACGTTGCTCTGATCATGACATTATTATCACTATTAACAATCCATGTTAGTTACAGCAAGGATTAGAAAGAAAATATGATGTTTGTGTCTTAATGATCCAGGAACGATGGAAGCAAAGCGTAAGCATGCTGTATGAGTGCAGGAGCATTCAGATGCTAAAGTGCATTCAATATGTCCATCTCTGAACAGCATATCATGGAAGGCAATCAGCAAACGACAACACCTGTATTTGGATTGCAGACACCCTTCATTTGAAGTTGGCAATTAAGTTCTCTGTTGCCAAAGAAAATTAGGTAAATGTCCACAGAAGGTGATGCCATATTTTCTGTGTCTTGGCATATTCCATAATACGCTGCGTCTTGCCTTTTGATATGTAAACAATGTACATGATTTTTCTCCTCAAACGACAACTTTTACGAAGAGTGCAAAAATCATCTTTTGCTCAAACTCATTCTGGGGTTCATGGAGCTTGTTGTCACAATGTTATTTGCGGAACAATTTCAAGAATACATGCAGGTTAAAAAATAAAATAAAACAAAGCATGCACTGCTATATACATGTCTCAATATCCATAAATGTGAAAGGTACCTTGCACTCATCTACTATGACTGAGTTGTGAGCTGCAAAAACACACTGGTTTGAGTTGTTTTCCCTATGATTTTTCATGTCGTCATAGATAGACTGAGTCTTGGTCATTTCAATGTCTTCGTGCTCTTTATGATGAGAATCAATGCTGTCAAGTTCTGCCTTGGAAAGGTGGTAGACGATGCCAGCACCAAAAGAATCCCCCACTACATTGACTGATGTTCTCATCCGGTCCCTATAAAAGAAGCAAAAGGAAGAGGCTGAATGGCACGAGAGGAAGAAAAAGGCCTGAAAGCCCTGTTAATGTTGCAGTTGTTGCACTTATTTCAGAAGATTTATGGCACTGTTAGAATAGAAAGATGGTAGCTTTCAAGTGAAATTGAAAAAACTTGCCTTTCCAGAGGACGTGTTCAGGCAGGAAGGATGTGCTAACTCCCATGGCCCAGCTGCTCATTCTCATGGGTTTTGGCAAAGAGTTTTGCACAAGGACACAGCCAAACTGCAGAGCTGTGCTTTGCTGAGATCTCCCTCGCGCCTACTTCTGCAGCTGAAGGTTTCAGTGTCAGGGTGCCAGACTCACATCATTGCCCTTTGTTTAATCTGAATTTATCAGGGTACGTAACACAGTCAGAGAAAAGGATTTTGGATCTGATGAAGTGTGTGATTGCTGGAATGGATTAATAAACAGCCCCTCCCCTTATTCTTAGTGAGAAAATTGCTAGGATTAAATGCCTGAAACGTCTTCATGAGATGGCTCAGGCCATCACAGCTCCTCTGCTGGCATAATCTTTACAGATGGTCATCTGTCAGATGGCAGCATGCCTGCCCACACTACCGTATGGCAGCACACAGTGGATGAGCCAGCCAAATACAGGTCACAGCCTACAAAATGATGAGCCTGTGGCAGCATGTCAGTAGCAAGTGCCCCTCACTGCACAGTGTGCCAGTGGAGGCCCATTTGCTCCAATACAAAGAAGCATGTTTGTTGGCACTTTCCAGACAGGATGCCTTTCTCCTGTCTCCTATTTACAGCATGACTGTCAGCTGTGAGGTCATGGCTGTGGATCTTCCCTCATTTCAGACTTCTGCCCAAAACCTCCCAAAAAAGGGAGATGTTCTTACAGAGAACTGCAGGACTGAGTGCTCCTGCTGTCTTTCCTGCTGCAGATAGGATGCACTGCACATTTTGAAATCATTTACACCTGCCACCTAGATGTGAAGAGCTAACAGTTTTGGTGTCATATCTGAGCTGAAGCAGCTCCCCCCAGTTTAATTCCATCAAATAAGAAGTCTAATAATCTCCCCCCAGAAAGATAAACCAACAACATCCTTCCAGTTTTGCCTCACATGAATGAAATGCTTTACAGATCTCACTCCATGCCTGCAAAAACTGTTTCAAACCTTGTCAGAGTGACAGAATAGGAAAAAATTACTTTCTAAAGAGTCACATTTAATTAAGACCATCAAATGTACTGAACCCTCCCATACAGTGCTCCAAGAACCTCTGCTTCATTTTTATTTCTGAGTAGCATTAGATTTTGAAAAATGCCAGACAAGGGAGAGATAATATAAGCGTTGCCAAAAAATGAGAGGAGAATACACAAATATAACTGAGGCATGATTCAATTTCTGACAGGGTCATTTGAGCAGAAGTGTCAGCCCATATTCATATGTTACTAGCCAAGAGATTCTGTAATACAAACTGCAGGCTCTTACAGAGCATTATTACACTAAGTGAGCTGATGTAGACCAGAAACTTTCTTACAACCAAACAAGCAAAGTCATAGCTGTCAGAAATGAACAGCAAAGTGCTTCTGACTTCCTTGGGGTCAGAGAACACCCAAGGAGAAGTAAGACTGAGTTTACTCTTTTGTTAAAAATAACCAACAAAATAATTCCAGCTTCTTGGAACTTTGAAAACAAAATTAATATCAGAAAGCTGCAGTCTAGTCACCTGCCCAACATAACTACTTCTGTGTTCTTCATAACAGACCCTGAGAGGAATAATGGAAAGACAGAGTTCTCACTCAAAAGCCAACTCAGCATCTGGTAAGAGTGTGTTTTGATATTGCTGCAATGTAATTCTGAAAAACCTGATAAGGATTAATGCCTAATTTCCATGAAGTGGCATAAATACGAACTGGAAGCTTGCTTATATAGATCAGAAAGAAGAAGAACTCAATTAGGCAGGCCCTCTTGTTATTAATGTAATAGCATGTATACAGTATGCTAATGTGCAAAAAAAAAAAAAGGTTCTCCTGCTCTCTGAAAGCTTGAAAACCTTGTATATCAACCTTACTATATTTTAGAAACATTAAAATCTTAGCACACCTGCGAATACAGAGAGTTGGTGATGTGTTTAGCATTTAGGCAATTATTTCTTAGCTGTTGTAGAAAAGAGCTCCTGTGTTTTTCAGTTCAATTCATTTGATTCATAACACCTAGATATAGAGTAAGTCTGAATGTTCTGAATTTGGAACTAAGCCATGGAGCAAAGTCAGAACTCAAAGTCAGTAACAGAGTTACTGAACAAAGGTAGATGTGTAAAATACTGGATTGGCTGCCCAAGCCCGTTTTCTCTAATTCCTCTTTCCTCACTGCAAAATATCACTGTATTTGAGGTTGTGCCATGATATTTGTTAAGCCTGTCAGTCTCACATTTGGAAAGAAGCCAGCTTTTAGCTGGAGGAAAAGAAGCTTGCTTCATTGCAGCTGTTGGCATATAATTGCTGTCCTATTAAATGTCACTGCTGCGTTGTGCTTAGTTTCAAACTGAGAAAACTGTGAGGGTTGTGAAATCTTGGGAAACTTGCCTGGTGAAAGAGCTCACTTTGTATGTGCGTGTGGGAGGGGGAAAGGTTTAGCAACCTAATCTTTAGATATTGGAGAGACTTGAGAAGAAATCGATACGGAAACCTTTTGGCTCCTATTTGAAGGAAAAACTGCCAAGCTTAAAGCCAGTCAAAAGTCAGTTTTGTGTTACACCATGACCAAATCTTGCAAAGTTGTTTTTGGTAAGACTGCAGTTTCAGATGATGGCAGTATTGTAAAATCAATTGATAGCTCCTTTCATTGGGAATACTGAAAAATTCATACAGTAGGCCATTCAACTGCTATAAATTGAACTATTCCAAAATATTTCTACTTGTTCCAGAAAAGTGGCTTTCATAATGCCTCAAAGATTTTCTTAACTTTCTCCTCTACATTCTGTTATAAATACTGCTGTAGTTTTATTTCATGATCTAAAGAAATGGAAGAAGGCAATGTTTGTAAGTAAAGAAAATATGTTTTCATGACGTTTTGTTTCAGATATCTTATATAGGGTTTGTGTGCCCAACAGACTGCTCAAAAGTTGGCTTGCGTGCCTTTCTTTACCATCTCCAACGTAAGCAATATTATTTTTCATATCTCATTAGACTTCAACACAACCACTGGACGATGTAAAACAAAGCTGTTAGCCCTTGCCAAATGCTAATTAGCACAGTATCTTCACCAGCAAACTTTGCATAACTTCACAGCAGTAGTGTCAGGACACTAGAGCTTTTCATCTCATCTTTTGTCTCCTTTCCCTTTTTTCTCTGTCTTTCACTTCTGAACCACTCTGGAGTTGCACAACTGATTGTTAGGCCAGAAAGATCCAAAACCAAAGTTTTGTGCTGGAAGGTTCTTCTGATTGGCATTTATTTTGGAAAGATACCATAAAATATTTCTTTCTGAATTACTTACTCTCAGTCTTGCTTCCTATACTTATATTCAACACTCCTACAGCTGCGCAGCAAGGTGCTTTTATTTCTCTAAGCAGTGCTGGATAAGCCAGAAGTAATGACACCTAAGCTGAGCCTGAAAAGCAACACGTACTGCTGGATCATAACTGCTGGTAACTAACGGCTCTGAGGTTTGCTAGTGTGGGCAGAGCTTCTCAGTCCACAGGAATATTTTTAAATGACATTTCCCTAAAAAAACAAACAAACCATAGGCTTCTTTTGCACATCCTCCTACCAGCTGCAGAAACCTACCTATTTGCCCCGCTTTGAGAGCCAGTAAAAACAGATTTAAAATGAGTATGCCCTTCCCTTTGCTTCCTTCTTTCCAGCTGCAGATGTCTACAACACTTTCCTGTTTTCAATCATGACCTTAGAAATATATTAAAACCCACAGAATATCACATTTTTCTCTATGCCAGCTGCACTCTGACTACTGAACCCTGCCCTACTTTGACATTCTGAGTCATGATATCATGATATTCAGTTATACATAAAATATGTAAGTAATTTTTTCCTCTGCTTTTCCAAGTTGTGATTCTTTCATTTCTCCTTGAAACAGAATCTAGAGTTGTACACCATTCTTCACAACTCATAGTGAAACGACAGGTAATAACAGATACACTACAGAAGAAATGTCGAAGAATTGATGAAGACCTTGAATTTTTCTCAGTAAGTAAAGATATAATTACAAGAAAATAATTTTCTGGTTTAGCTTGAAATTCTCAACACTGCTTCTGCTTCTTGCATAGTTTTAGTAGTGTATCTTGGACTGAAAGTTACTGCAAATGAGCAGCTGAGGAGGAAATGCACAAGTGGTACAGAACACTTACATCTCCTGGAACAATAGAAAAATACGTCTTTACTACGTGCAAGTATATCAGGGGAGAGATGGCTGTTGATCATAATATGCTGTGCTGCTATCTGTGAGGCATTATTAAGAAGACAAAAATGCATGATCCTTGGGCTCATACAAGAACATCCTTTGCTCATAAAAATGGACCTTATTAGCTCTGTAACAATTTCTATCCCCTGAGAAGCTGCTTTCAGTGTTTCCTTCCTTATCAAATGGTTCGTGCCTGTTTTCTCTTTTGCTTCATCTGGCAGGAGATTCTTGGAGTTGTCTAAGATCAATAGCTGAAAAGCACTGCAGACAAGCAAGCATTCCCTTCATTCTTTTTCTGCATTGAGCAGAGAAGTCAGCACAACTTACAATAGCCAGTCAACAGCAACAAGCAAACTGATGTCCTGGGTAGGGAGACCCACTGCAGTCAGGATGAGAAGCATAGTGACGAGTCCAGCACTGGGAATACTGGCAGCTCCAACACTTGCAAGAGTGGCAGTCAAACTGCAAAAACAAAAATCAAATGAAAATAGCAGGAAGAGAAATATGAACTTTTGTTGCTTAATCATGTGATCAGTAGGAACGTATTATTCTTAGATGGTTCATTTATATTCATTCATGGTACCTAAACAGTGAAGCTGACACTATTCAGGTCTGAACTAATCTATGAGGATGTCAGCCTGATCTAGACCTGCCAGACGGCTGGGTTTGACCCGGACAGTCCAGGTCACAGTGTGTTTATCACATGTCTGGGTTAGAGTGCAACTTGGCCTTCCAAACCTGCAGACAGATTCCAGCAGGCAGGGGATGCTTCACACTGCCATCAGGCTCTGCATGTGGTGTCATCTTCTTGGGCACAGCCATCCTGAGTTGGTGAGAGAGCATTTCCAAGCTCTGCCAAGCAGAGGCTCTTTGCTGGCCTTTTCATAACAGTATGCACAGGGTTGCATGGGAAAGAAGCTGACACTGTTCAGGTCTGAAGAGTCTGGCTTAACCACCATATCTGAGATCACCCTCTCCCAGAGATGATATAATCTGCACGATCAATATGAAGTAACTGTGACTAGGCAAAGACTAATAAGGTCATTGTGAATTTACATCCAGGTTATCTCAATATCCCCAGTATCACATCCTGGGTTTGGCAGGAAAAAGCTAGTAACTTCCCATTCATTAGTACTGGCAGCTGGAAGGATAGGGGTCATATAGGATAGGCTCTTGTAACATTGGAGCAGAAATGTTCTGTTATGTGAAGAGAACAGTTTTCCCACATAGTCCAAAACTGCCTACTGCTTAATCAAATGTGAGTCATAGCTGACAACCACAGCCTTAACTTGGTGTGTGCAGACAGAGCTGGAGCCAGTTCCTTAGAGGAGGGAGGAGGCATAACTCAGATTTGGGCTTAGCTGGCTTTAATTGTCCTGATTGTAATTTGGTTTTTAGAAGTGGCATCTCTGAAATTACTGTTCTCATTTATCAGGCTAGACCTGAATATATCACTTGTCTTCATTAGAAGCATCACTGAATGTTTTAGAAACCTTGTTTTTACTGTTTTAGGGGCTTGGGCAGGTGGTAAAGAAATGGAAAAACTGCTGCTAGTACAGCTGGGTAAGGAACACAGAATTATATATCCTTACACAGAAACTTCTTAAGTGTTAAAAGGGCTTAATAAAAGAAAGGTGGGTGGGTGAAAACTACAGGAAGAAGCCATATTTGGCAGCCTTCATTTGTGGTTTACATTTTACTCAAAATGTTATGCCTGGTGTCTTCATCAAGTTTTCCACTGTAAATTAACTAAAGCTGCAGCAGTCATAACTTTGCCTTTGTTTCTTATTAGTCACCGTATCTAATGGGCCTTAAAACTCCATTACAGAAAAACCATCCTGAATCACTTTTACCCATTTTGAATGGGTACTTTCCTTTGTTCTTCCAGAGATAGTCCTTAATATGAAGAGCTGATATCAAAAGAATAGAGCTAGCATTCTCTGGGTTAGAGAGAAAAAGTCCGAGAGTACCTAGATTGTGCTGCAGGCAATCTCACCCTCAGGATTTTTTACATTGAGTCCATTCTTTTTTTACTGTTCACAGAAATGACCCCCTCCACACCCCCCCCAACAAACAAACAAACAAACAAAAAATCAAAAAAAACCAAAGACATAGACATGTTTAGGAGTATTTTTCTCTTCCAATGTATATAAACACATACGTTCTAGAAAGTTAATGCCCCATGTATCACTTGGGGCATCCCTTTATACTAAAAGGCACTGCATTGAACAAAAAAAATGCAGTTTTCACAGAGCATCTTCAACAGCAAAACTGTACAAACACCACTAGAATGCATTGAGGCTGCAAAAGATTAAAGATTAACATCACTGGAAAGCCAGGACCTACATATATGCCATTCTTTTGCACAGCATTACTAGAAATCTGTGGTTTTCACAGTGGATTTCACAGCCACTGAGAAGACAGACAAGTGAAAGCTTCACCTTTTACTGTCTGTAGAAACAAATCTTGCAGTAATTCTAAACTGACCTCACAGTAACTATCTGGCCTCCATCCAGCTCAATTCCGTTCATCTGTGCTATGAAAATGGCAGCCACAGCTTCATAAAGGGCAGTTCCATCCATGTTAATAGTTGCTCCAACAGGAAGAACAAACCTCGTTACACGCTTATCAATGCCTAGGTTTTCCTCAAGACAGCGGAATGTGACAGGTAATGTTCCAGCACTGAAGGAGAGAAAGCAAATAAGTAAAGAAGACATCATTTTAATGTAATAATGTTTTAATGTAATATGAGGAAACAAAGTCAGAAATTTTGCTCTTTGTTTACTTTCTGCTTCTACTTTCAGCTGTGATTCCAAGTTTTGGCCGTTGTTTCAATTAAATCTACATTTAGCTGGAGATGGGACTGAGGCCAAGGCATGAACTTGACTTCAGGAAAGGCAAGAGCTTGAGAGATTGTAGATGAAGCTTTCAGACTCATTCATGAATTATTTCTTGCATTTTGCTTAAAGAGGCCAGTTCCTAGTGTTTTCTGATGAACAGAATTACAAGCGTAGGGAAAAATCCTAAACGTATTTGATTACAAATTTACTTTGAAGGGAGAAGTCAGTGCTGCATTATTGAATTAAGAGAAAAAAAAAAAAAAAAGTAGGCAAGGCAAATACATACAAAACACATGCAGCTCCCAGACAGTGTAAGACAGGAAAGAATATCAAACATGGTCGGAGTTTAAGAAGAGATGTGAAAGACAGCTGGAAGGGAGCACCTTGCACTGATCCGTAGTGTCTTGGCTCTGTGGGAATCAGTAAGGCTATTCTATTCACTTGTTCAAAATAAAACATCTTCATCTAAAAATACTCTTGAAAACAGAACATACTCCTTCCCTGTATATGCAAATATCTTTTACTTCCCTTCCCCAGCACGTCTGCATGCCTCAGGCAAAGGGCTTGCTGCAACAAGTATGAAACCCACATAGGAGCATGTTTTGTTTCCTCACTTTTCCGTATTATCTCTGAGGTCAAGTTCACCACTAAATGAAGTTGGTTGCTGCCTGAAAAGCCATTCTGAAAACAAACCTGACCTTGAGAAATGTGTTTTAATTGATGTCTCATACAGAAGCTGAAGAACATCTGCTGTGGTTTGTTTGCTTTTCTTCATCTGAGTTGGCAGAATTTCTCAAAGGCCTTCACTATCACGTACCACTGATGCTGGTGTCATTGCCCCTACAAAAATACTAGTTTGCTTATAAAGGAATAAAGACCTATCATATTTTCTCAGAAAAATACTTACAGTATATTGTTTCTAGTGCCTTGTAATTTCAGAGGATCTCCAACACTAAAATTCATCCATTACTGCAGAGATGCTACTGATTTTGCTATTGATTTTTCTAACAGATGTTTTTAATAGATGCCAGCAAGCCAGATACACAGCACCAATCACTTGTGTTCTAGAGTCTTTACAAATATATACATGCATTTACGATTTATTTTAATTGAAGTTGATTGAATGTTTAATATTCTCTCTTTTAAGCCAAATCAGAGAGAATTCATACTTCCTAAAAACAAAGTATTGCTCTTCCATATGTTACTGTAGAGGTTATATTTATAGCAGACGGATGAAATTATACGGTGACTCAGTAACTAATATTTGCAATTCACTTTTGAAGTCAGTTTCATCATCACTTTGCCTTTTACAGTAAAGGCACTCCCATATCTTATTAAAAGAGGAACAGAATAGAGCGTAGTTCACTAACACACATTAAAACCCAGTACAATAACTCTTCTTCTGAAATACAAATGCCACCTTACCTTTACTTTCACAGAACAGATCACCAGCACAAAATATGTATCAGCCATAGGGTAACAGTGTCATAACATACCCTGGCTGGCTCAACAGGTAGAGACTAGATAAATATCTTCCCTCTCCAGTTCTGTCACCGTGAGCAAGGACACGTTAGCAGACCACAGAAGCAAGGTTTCTTTATTAAAATAGCACAGTAAATAGTCTCCTTCCATGGTTCCTCACCCAACCAAACCGAGAGCCTTAATAGGTCTCTGTGTACAGAGCACTTGCAGCTTCCAGAGGTACCAGGTTAGACTTGTATGATGGTGATTGTTGTCACATGGTCATCTGTCTGTGGAGCTATGAACTGGTTCATATCTGTCTGGCCAGTAATTCAAAACATAATACTGAGGTAAGTCCATAAGCAGAATTTATTCTCCGCATTAACAGTGCATAGGAGTCTAATATATTCAAGGTTCTTTTGTGTTTTTTTTTACTGAAGTCCCCTTGATCAGTCAAATTGGATGAAAGAACAAAATGAGGGCATTATAGTAACTTGGGAACCAGATTCTGTTTAAGCCTAATATGCTGTGAGCTCCCAAGATCTCTCGTGTGTCCTCCACAGAAGAGAAGGAAAGGGGCTTGAATGCACTGAAATCTTCACTGAGATCAGCAGATATACACAAATCCTATTGCATCTCTGCAGATCTCTACTACCATTATAAGTCAATACAAGAAGCAGCTAGTAGTCATCAGAGACTTTTATCCATTTCTTTCATTTCTCTCCTGAAGTCTAGGGCTATTTTTTCCCTCAGGGCAATGAGACTAGCCTTAACATGCTTTTAAAAGGTAAGTAAATAGTATAATCACTGTTTCCCAGCTGGTGAAACAAGGACAGAGGTAACTGCATACAAGTCATTTGGTCTATGTGAGAAAAGAAAACTAAAAGTGTGTCTCCCAACTCTCCTCAGTGGGCTGTACAGTCTCTGTAAAAATCCCCAGTGTGTGTTGTAACCTACTTCTTCCAAGAAGGCTGGATTTTTTAAAAAAGTTTTTATTCAGTGGCATAAAATGAAGGTCAGAACAGCAGATGTATGACCTTAAAGCAGCATCCTATAATCCGCTGAAAATAAATAAAGCTGTTATTTCTCAAGTGTACCTGGAAGCTGTGCCTAGTGCTGTGATCCACGCCTGGAAAATCCCAGCAAGGAATGAAAAGGGGCTTTTCCTCGTTATCACAAAGTAAAGCAGAGGCAGGAAGATTCCTCCATGGATGACAAGGCCCACAATCACAGTTACCATGTACATGCCAAGTTGTCTAGCAACTACTTCAAGGTCCTTGATTGCAATGATTTTTCCACAGATGAGACAAGCAATGCCCAAAGGGGAATACCTGGGGAAAGAGAACAAACATAGACAGAGCTGATCTTTGCAGCATGAAGTTGTAAAATGTGTCCTTAACAGAATACAGGCCAGAGAAAGACTAGGGGCTTCTCAGGCTCAACACTGAGATGCAGATCATGATGTGACAGAAATTCAGTGGCTTGCTTTCACACCTCTTCTGAAAACACTGGCCATCTCCAGCAAATTCCACATCTAATTCATTTCATTCCATTCTACTGAATGGAATATGCATTTCCCAAAAAGTGTTTGATCCTGGAATGACATCCTTTGAGGATATGATAACATTACACAGGCTTGTACAGGAATATAGTAGTTGTTTTTAATATTTAACTTTCACAACTCATTGTTCATCTAGTTTCAGGAAGCTGTATTATTTGTTTCAGCTAAATGGCGTGCTCCTGAGAGCCTTTGCTAACTACTGGAGTTGCCACGTGCCCACAGCTCTGTGCAGGGAGATCACAAGCCAAACAGAATGCAATTCTGAAATAGAGTTGTCTTTATAAGGACACACACACAAAAAAAAATGCTGCTTCTAGCCACAGCAATTCTTTAACAATTCTAGACAGAAGTGAACAAGTAGAACTCCCAAAACCAATCTCTTTGTCAAGAAAATAGGAATAAAAAGCACATCAGTAAAAAGAAACAAATATTTGCAGTCAATTTCTTGAAACTTGAATGGCTTCCTGCCATTGCAACACTGACTACAATTTAAATAAGGTATTATGTCTTGGGTGTACCAACTGGTGCTAAGTGAAATAAGAGTAAATTCTAGTCCTTGGAGTGTTATTAGACTATAGTCGCTGCCTCTCTCCATGCACAGTCAAGATCAGCAAGTTGCAGTAACTACTAAAAGTAGGAGGGCTTTGTGAATAAAAACAACTTTTTATGTGGCAAGATCCCCTAAAAGAAAAGCAGAAGCATAACAGGAAGAAAAAGTTATCTCTTCAAGTTGCTTTGTTCAGCTCATTTCTACATCACTGTTCCTGTCTACGTCTCTTGCTTAAGTTTTCCTTTCAAAAACTGATGATGTTGAATACTCATGCTTCAGGCACCCTTCTCCCTTTTTGACAAACTTTGTCCATCTAAAGCCTCAGGGAAGAGGCATACTGCAGTCCTGTGACTCAGGAACTAATTTCCAGAGACACATATGAATCACGGGTAGCAATGAGCTATAGGTATAGGTGATGTAGGTGATATATACCAATGATATAGGTGTCGCTTCAAAAGTAATGCCTCCTATTTACTTCCATGGAAACTACAACAGCTACGTAGAGCTCAATAGCACTGTTTGATAGAGCAAATTCTCAGCTACGAAATGCTATTTTTCAGCATAGTCACCAGCATTGTCTCCATTTTTGCCAGCAATGAACAAGAGCCTGAATGCAACACATAAAAATCTGCACCAGAGGAGGGGACCCACAGTTTCACAGCTGCTGTGATAGCGTGATGGTGTTATTGCTGAGAAAATGTTGCCCACACAGTTCATCCTTCATTAGATTGAATAGATGAAAGTCAGAAGGCACCAAATCTGGACAACTTGGTGTGTAGTAGGACAGCCAAGATCACAAGGCCAATGTGCTCCACGGTCTTCAAACTGGTATGGGGCCTGGTGTTATTGTATTGCAAGAGAAAGGTTGTCTTCATCTGTGGCTTGACTCTGGAAGATCAAGCCTTCAGCCTAGTCAGAATTGTGATGTTGTAGTCAGAGTTGATGGTTTGTCCGGGTTCCAGGAAATCCAGAAGGATCACTCCTTCCCTATCCCAAAAAACGATGCACCTCATTTTACCTGCTGAGGGCTGTGTTTTGAACATTTTCTTTTATAAGGGAATTCACACATCACCACTCCATGGACTGCCATTGTGACTCTGGTTCGTAGTGGTGACACCATGTACATCTCATCACTGGTAAATGATACAATCCAGAAAACTGTCACCTTCAGCATCTTACTCTTTCAATAGGTTCTGGCAAACTTGCATACAGTATACTTTCTGTTCCTTTCTGAGCATTCATGAGATTCATTTGGCACAAACTGTGATATTTCAGTGTTGCCACCATCATTTCCAATGCACTGAAGCTAATATTCAGCTCCACACATATTTCCCTGATTGTAATCCACCAATTTGCTTAATGCGCATTCCCATATCAGTCACCATTTTGCCAGACTGTCCCTCTGCTGTCGTCTGTCACACAGCAACAAAGTTTAATAGAATATTTATGGGAAGGTTCAACCTCTCCTGCCATACCACCAACACCTGCCACTTATGTCACGGTCTGTTATAAAATAGCTGGTATTAGTTTCAGATCAGCCCTTGCATACATATTATATTGGGAGAAGGTATTTCTTCTTTTGGAAGACTGAGGAGATACCAAATGTAGTAGTACAGTGCTGTAGTGGAAATGCCAAGTCAGGATCTGAAGCAGTGATTGAGCACCTGGTGGGAAGGCAGGGCCCAGGTGCATGCAATGCAATCCACCTGAGTGACCGGAAGGGGTGGAGTCAGGATCCACCCCTTTCCAGACCTCATTTAAGGGTTGGCAGTGAAGGTAAGAGTATTTTGCTGGAGCTTCCTGCTTTTTTGAGGCCTTCTAAGGTAAGCAGTTCTTTTCCTTCATTTTTGTATCTGTGGCTGCTGTATTTGGGCTCATTCTCATTTGTTGTAGCTGTAGACTTTGACACCCTGCTGTTATTGTGGTACCTTCCATCCCATTATATTGTTACAGATGCCAAAAGTAGCGATGCACTTTTGTGTTCTGAAAAACTGGTTTTGTGTGGTATGTCCAGGTTTGGTGCTGTATGCCAACAGTTCTGGGGGAATCCCTCAGAATAATCACCAAAAAAAAGAAAGAGCCAGTACCCTTCCAGAAATATAAACAAGAGCTTAGTCTTCACAGAGTAAGTCATTTGCTTGTAGGCAAGCCAAGCCCCGTTATTACAAATGGGTGTACTTCAAAAATAAGACAGGCATCTTCTACTGCTGTGGTGTTCCAAAACTCAAATTCTGCTGAAATTATGGGGGAGGAACTATGCATCACTGAAGACCACTGGAATTTTATTTGATGGTGAAGTATTTTTATTACAGAAGACAGCAAATGAAGTCTGTCTTTAGACTTCTTTGTAATTACACCTTATAGATAATACTCTGGGATTACTCTGATTGCTCTGTAACCTCCCAGGAAGACATGGAGGTTCTTAACATAGGGTATTCTTGTATGCTTAGTGTCCTCCTATATAATGAGTGTCAATAATAAATGTGGCATTTGAAGGTCTTTGCTGGTACCTTCATGTCTTGGATTTTACTAAACAAAGGACAAAGCTTGCCAATTTCAGAAATACTTCAAAATCATTCCTAAGTAATGTTCAGCATACAGAAATAATGCTGTTCTGGTTCTGACATAACTGGTAAGTCTTTAAAAACCAAATTATTTCATTACACTGCTTACTAACAAACTATGTTTACTATATGCTGTAATAGGGTTTTGAGAGAAATTTATTTATTTACCTATTTTGTTCCAGAAGTTAGGACTTTGAACTTACCACATAATCATAGTTACTAACTTCATTACGATCTCATTCAGGATATTGAAGAAATCCACCATCATCTTGGCTTGTTCTCCCATTTTCCCCATAGCAATGCCAAAAGCAATAAAGAATCCTATTAAACCTATTGAGAAAAAAGTTTTAAAAGCAAGTAAAAAACATAGGTTTTAGCAAGATCTCGCACCTGGTCGGTGTCTTCGTGCGACCTGCTAATCCACTTTTCAGAGTGACTATAGTGTGCTGTACATTTCTTAGGTCTTTTCAACGTGAACTCACCCTCAACTTTCATGATTCTATTCTACAGAATATCCTTTAGTACTTTACCACACTCTAACTTTACAGGTCAACTAATTTTTTTTTTTAATTGACTTGATCACCACAATATTTCCAGTGCAATGCAATTGTTAGAAACCTCATGGCCCCCAGCAAATAGGAGAGGCAACACAGCACCACACCATGACTGTTTTTCGTTGCTGAAATAGTCACTAGAGACCAACAGCATATTTAGCAAGGTTTAAAAAAAAAAAAGCCCTTGGCAGATTCAACCTGCAGACCAGTCAGTCTTGTAATACTAGTAGCAACCCCAGAACGTAGCTTTTGCAGATCAGGAGTAGCCTAGTTAAGAAGGTGGGGGTGGGAGGAGAAGGTTTGTATTGTACTTCAAGCTTAACCATTACACTCACATTAAACAGATTGCTGCTGATGGTTTCAGTGAGAGTACATATCTAATCATAGATTCAATACAAGTAGAAATGGGCTCCCTAAATTTAGATGACTAAGGTGAGAAAGCATGGAGCATTAATATCCGTGCACCTGTCATGTGTTCCTTTGAAGCTGTCTCTCTAAAGCTAACCCTCACTTTCGAGCAATTTTCAATGTCCTGAGAGAGATTATTAGCTGATACTGATAGGTGGTTTGAAAGTTAAGCCATCACTTGAGGGTAAATTTTCAATCATGACACGAACTCAGTATTTAACAAATGTGTGAACTCATGGGAAATTCCTAAAGAGAAACCAATAAGGATTTTTAAAAAAATTCTGAAGGATGGATTTCAGCTGCTGCTATGCTGGGAAAAGACATTGTCTCATATCTTCTCACTGGGTTTAGTAATAAACCTTTTGTGGTGTTTAAGTATCCATTCTCTTGCATAGAAGGTCACTGTCTAGCACCAACTTATTTTTGCTGAGTCACTTAGAGCACTGATGTGCATGTATGTGTGCTGCAGAGCATGGAGAAATAATGAAAAGTTTTTTAGTCAAAGACCAAGTAACTTCCTGGAATTCAGACTGCACATCAGAAAATGTTTGTAGGTGGTTTCATTTTGTCAATTCCAGGCTAGCTGCTGCTTTATTCAGAGAAGTCAAGTTGGCTAACATTTGCAGGAATTTGCCTGGTTTGCACAGTTTATGCAACCTGGATGGCAATTCCTCAGTGTTTTCACTTCATATATATGAAAAAATGGAGAACAAATGATTGCAACATTTGAGAGTCATCAGTCAAAACACCACAGTAAATATCCCACCTAAACTATAGTTTTAACAGCATTCATTTCCTTCCTGTATGAATTTTACTCAGCCTTCTAGCTATTTTATCTCTGATGGGATCAGCACAGCACAAATTTCACACTAAGTGTACTTCATCTCTTGCATCAGAAACACAATTTCATTTTAGCACAAAGTAAGATCTAGGAGGAAAAAAAAAATGCAGGTGATGGTAACAGCATGACCAATGGGCTGCTGTCTCACATGGTGCAAAATTCCAATCTGCTCCTTTGCAAGAAAGCAGCTCTTCTGTCTAGTGATGCAGAGGAATAGGGACCGCAGTGGCAAGCTCACTACAGTAGCTCCAGCTCTTCTTAAGCAGGCTGTTTCCCAAAGAGGAAAAAACTGACCTCAGGTCAGTTTACTGGTATCATGCCCCTGCCTAAGTAAAGCTGCCTCTGCCAGCCAATTCACCAACACGTGGTGGTTTGCAGGCATAGCAATCCTTGGCTTAGTAGGAATTGCTCATCAGCTGTAAGGAGTCTGTAAGGGGCCATCTGCCACCAAAAACTGAAAGCCTAGTGGTGGGATAAAGCAGTGGTTTAAGTACTGCCACATGCTGTCTCACTGTGAGGGCAGTACCTATAAACACAGGTGTGGACCTTCACCCTGTGAACATGCTGCTGCGGAGCACATGAGTCTTTAAGCATGGTTGTGCTGATGAGCACTACAAATTGAGGGCTAATTTGAGACCAGTTTCGCCCACATTCACAAAGAAAGTGAAGAAGGATCACTTCTTTCTGAGCTGATAAAACTGAGTCTAAGCACAGAGGAGAAAGTAAGAGTGCTGTGGCAGCTCTTTGTTCCTTCATGCCTTTGCCTCAGCTTGAACAGGTGCTTCAGGAAAGAGTGGGAGATAGGCAAAACCTTTGTACCACCCCCATATGCTGGCTTGTACAGACAAGATGGCATGATGGCAGTTGTTCATAATGTGCAGCTGGTAAAGGTCAGCAGCCAAGATGAAAGAGAGAGGGAGTTGTGACTCAGAGATGTGTCAAGCCTCTCTGGGATTTTTCTTGGGTGGTGCGGTGCACACCCCACCTCTCACTTCAGGCTGTGCCTCAAGCCAAAATCTAGTTCAGCTTGCCCAAGAAACCTAATAGAAACAACTGAGTTCAAATTCATCAGAGAGTAGGTAAAGCACAGCCTCTTGAAGCCCTCCTCCATACTGTTTTGCCAATATGCATTACTATTAGTCTAGATGGGCTACCTCTGTGATGAAAGGATATTCTGGATGCCTCCTACATAGTTCCCCACTGTACTCCAAATAATTCCCGTAAAGCTGCCATTCCAGAATAATTCACTTGATTCTGTGATATCGTTGTAGTTCCACCAAGACTGTTTGGTTTTCATTTCAGGGACCAAGGGAAGCTGGGAGGTAGGATGATGACTATTTGTTGAGATTGAATTTGCACTGAGGAGCAGATCAGACAACACTGACTACCCAGTCACAGCTAGAAGCTGCATCATGCATATGATCTAGATATTTGACAGGCAAGTTTTCCTACCCAGGACGTTCATGCCATCCTTAAATTCGAGTCCTTTCTTAATGACTAGCTGGGCTTCTGGTGGTGCTTCACGCACTGTCTCATTCATCAGAGCAAAAGCAGAGTCAGTAACATTAGGCGGCTCTTCAATGGGTGGTGGCACCAGCACTTTCTTGGTGACAGTTTGGATCTGAAGGCAATAAAAAGAGAGGATGAGAATGGAGATAGACTGGAATTATTCCATATGAGAGATCAGGAAATAATAATAACTTTTCACTTGAAACTCCGGAGAACTATATTTTTAAAGGATTAGGCACACATTCCACAACCTCTTAGCCCTTCTTCCAAAAATAAGTTTGTTTTTCAATAGTTTCAAATGACACGCAGTCCTGGGAATCTTCACTGTGACTCTGGTGTGAAAGCATGGCAAATATTCCTTCCTTCTTGCTAGTGTGTAATGTTTTACAGATAGCTAGCCTCTTTGTCCAGATGGTTCACAAATGGTGCTTCACAGATTGTATGTTACCCATAGATGTAAATTATTTAGCACTGGAAGTTGGGTATCTCTAAAATCAGTCACAGCACCAACTCTACAATAAGGCTTGTTATTTAGGATGGACTGCCCAGCTCAAGTTATTGTAGTGTGATGCTTAACTTTACTCAAAAATTCATGATATATCCAACTCAGTGATTGAGGTTATTTAAAATGAAATGCACACGGTCCCAGAGCTCTCTAATTAAAACATTCTAATAAACACATAATGAAGGATTTAAACCACCAGATAACTACTAAATCAAATCTGACTACCTTTAAAATAAGAAGGCGTCAGTAGCTAAATGACTGTGGACCTCTCCTGGCACATGAAAGGAAGGGTCAGGAGAAAGATAGGAAAGAATGGTGAGGAAGGAATGGGCTCAAGTTTATGGCTAGGCAAAGAAAATGGGGTATGAGGGTGGAAAAAAGAAAAATCAGTGAAAGGACTGCCTTTTCCCTAGATAACACCTTGAGCCTTTCATGGCTCTGAGACAGATGTTTCATGACTGTTTTGCCACTTTTCCCACCGGCTCCCTATTTTCTGTGCTCTTAGAAATATGTTTGAGCAAGGCATTAGAGCCACGCATTAGTCTTTCAAGAACATTTGCGTCTTCTTTCTGCTGAGATGGCACATTGTAGTACTACAGATGATGATCCAGATACATCACATACCGTTTTAACATACCTTACATCTCTCCTTACCAAACTTGCTGTCTACATTAGAGAGGGGGTTGCAGACAGAAAACCTGCACAGCTCCTGTTTGAGAAACTCTTCAGTTGTCCTGAAACCATCAATTTCTGCCTGTTTTCAATTTTTTTCAAGTGTTCAAATTTATTTGAGAAATGTTATCAATGCTATATATTTTTTTTGTAAAGTAGATGAAATGTAAGAGTGAAGTCGCAGAAATTAAACTTAAAACATCAAAGCACTCAGAAATTCCACAGCAGTCGATTAAGATAGAGGTCCTCAGCCTTCCACTGCATGTGGTCATTGTACTTAAACCTCATGACTAACACGCAGTTTAGATTCCAACAACAATATCTGAAGCCTGAAAGCTACTTGAATGTTGCAGTCATTTAAACACGATCGCCCATTTCTCTGTCATGGCTTAACTTAAACCTCTTCTGGAATAGCAGTTTTTATTATAAATTATGAATTTCTTTTCTTGACCCAAAAAAAAAATAATAATAATAATCAACAGCTACAGAAATTCCATGATGGTTCAGAGTTCAGCTGCCAGATGAGCTATATCAAAATTGCAATTTAATCTCTTAATTGTTTGTAGAACTCCCATTGGGAGCACTGCTGCACAATATCACTGTTGTGTATGCTTCAAAACAACCTTTGCAAGAATTTTGTGAATATTCTTCCTCCTGAGGCAATCTGGAAACTTTAAGTGAAACTTTGCTTGTGGAGAAACTCTGCATAAATGTCTGCATTGAAAGGAATTATTTTTTCCTCCTAACTCCTTTACTGGGTAGTTAAGGACTAAAGGAAGACAAGTTCAGTGTGGAAAGGATTGTGACTGACTTTGCAAATGAGAAGTAGCTTTGTGACAGAGGCTTGCATTGGCAATTAATTTGGAATCTGATAAGAGGAAACTTAGGAAGGCTATAAGATCAAAAGGGAGTGTCCTTCATGTGCCACTGAAATTACCAGGACTGTTGTCTATTGATTGCTATAGGCTTTGAAATGGGTCTGCATTGGTAAGCTTAAGAAACAAATGATGGAATTGGTCATCTGGAAGTAATGAAGTGAATTAAACCTTAATATTACACACACTGAAATAGCAGTATTAAGCTTTTAAGAAAACTATTTTACATGGGTAGCTTAATTTTTTTTTTTTTCTCCCATATTTTTTCCCTTTTGCCAAGGTATTCAGCCACTTTCAGCAGATGAGAAATTTAGTTCTCTCTTCTATAGTTTAAACAAGGGAAAGAACGAAAAAAACACAAGTACCCTGTACTCCCCACACTCCATTTTGCAAAAACACATTTCACATTACATGTGGTGTTTGGCCAACCACAGTTTGACCACATGACTGACATTCCCATGATGATCTGGAAATATTGAGAATGTTCTCTCATTAAACCCCCAAGGACTATGTGTTTTTATGTGGAAGACTGTGGAAGAAGTGAAGAAATTCATGTCCTTTTGGCATCTTAGGTTGCCTTCTGTTCTTTCACCCCCATGGCCTCTTCTGTCTTTCCCCCCCTTTCTCTATAATCACAGCTCATGCCATTTCACATAGGAGCCTTTAAGGGCATATTTGGCAACAAAGCTTATTTCATTTAAAAAAAAAAAAAAAACAGTCTGCATTACTGCCAAACAGCTTAGCTTTAGGAAAAAGCAGCTCACATATAAGAAATCTGTTTGAGAAAGGCAGGCTTGCTGATCTCTTATTTCCTTCATGCTTCCAAGTGAAGCCATTTTTATTAAGTATTGGCAAAAAGCTTTTTTGACAAAATTTATGTACAAAGCAAGCAACACAGGGTCTAACATCCAACTTTCCCAGCGTGCCTCAAACCTGGCCTGATGTACCCACCTGTGAGTGGATCAGCCACCTGAGTGTATTATCCTCACATAGGACTATAATCTCTTGATATTATGGGAATTATGGGAAGTTGGGTTTCAGAGTACGTTCCCACGGCAACCAGCCTGAATGAAGATCATTCAGCCATTATACGCTGGGCACTATAAAGCCATCAACTTTGTAGCTAATGACTAAGACCAAATTCAGTGGGTGTGAAAGATTCTGTAAGTCATCAAGTCACTCAGCACCAAGCCATCATTCATGCCCTTATATATTGTACAAAAAGTGAGGAAAAGTTTTTAAGATTACCTGGTAACAAACTAAAAATAATGTTAAAAAAATCTATTAAATAATAATTACTAAACAAAACAACTACAAATAATGTTCTTTTATTTACCTGCTCAAGTCCTAGGACCTGTATTTCTCTTTGCATCACTGTTTCTGTCATTCTTTGTCTGAATAGCATCACTACCTCTGTAGACAAACTTGGTCAATAAAAGAAGTTTTAAAAGATATTCTAAAGGAGTAGGATTTACCTGCTGAAAACATGCTTGGACTAGATTTTCAGGGAACAGGTTTCGGATCAGATCCAAGAAAGCATCCAGACTAGATACTTCATCATTCTTCTTCCCTTGACCAAGCTGTTTCTTGAGTTTTGGATTTCCTGGATGGATAGCTAAAACCAGAATCACACCCAGCACGGCAGCAATAATAGTGGTGGACATGTAGTAGACCATGGCTCTCGTTCCCAATCGGCCACTTGCTTTAGCATCTAAACCAGACAGTCCTGCATGTGTTTTATTTTTAAGAAACAAGCAAACAGAGATTCAATATCCAATTCAATAAGCATCATAGGAAATGCTGTAGAATTTGTAAATGTTAATGTCTGCCTACTTTTTCCTCTTTGTGAAATTCTCGCTGAAACTTCTCCCTCCAAATCTTATGTGAACAATGCCTGCTGTTGCTACTTTAAAGAGAATAGTTTGAGATTCCATTTGACTGTGCAGGAGACGTCAAAAAATAAAGAGTTCATACCAACTCTTGCTTATATTGCTGCATATTGTTCACGTTCTGGATGACAGCACAGATTTAAGGCAAGGCATTCTGCTGTCATGACACCTTAATTCACATAGTTCAATCTGAGAATTAGGTGAAAAAACACATTAAGAAAATTCTTATCTTCAGGAAGGTGGTATGTCAGCATATTTTTGAAGACAAATTCACTGGAGCATCTATCAAAGTCAGTAAATTAAATTAACTCCAAATACACACTACAACTGCAAAATCCCTGACAGGATCATACACACAAAGCAAACCAGGTGATTTCTGTAGCAAGCACCTTAAAGTATTTATGGCTAATAGATCTTACCTGTGATTAAACTGGAGATAATTAAAGGGAGGATCAACATTTTTAGCATCCTCATAAGTATATCTCCTGGGAAGGCTATTAACATGATGATGTCAGGGTCAATAGGCGTTGCTAGACGAAGAAGACCCCCACATAATGCACCCAGGATGACACCTGAAAGGAAAGTACAAGAGAGTAAGTAGAAAAGAAAAATATACATGAATTGATCCATGTTCATTGATTATCAGAAAAGCCTAGAAGAAAAATAGCTATGGAAGGTGGTTGTTTTTTGCTAGAGAGACTGATTCTGGAAGGCATAATCCTCTGATTGATACCAGCTGTAACATGCTTACCATATATCTCAACTAAAGAGAAATAGTCCTCAGTTTGCACCTAATATGTTATTCTGCTTCTGCATTGTATTTTCCCCACAATATTGTTGAGGTTTAATAATACTGTATATATATATACTTGTAACACTATGGGAGAGTTACATGCAGGCGAACCTAAGGCACTGAGATGTAGTGATGTGCACAGGGTCATTCAATGGGTTGGGACTCTTCTCAGCATGACATCTAGCTCTTAGTATAAGAATGATACTGCATGAAAGCAAAACAGCATAAGTAGCTATTTTACAGCCTAAGAAAAGCCCTACAGGAAAGCTAAAATAGTCGTGAGAGGAAAACAGATTCAAGGGTGACCTGGGGCTTTTTGGAGGGGAACATCAGTCATTTACTAGTAATGTGGTCATCTCTGATTTTATCAGCACACTACTAAGCAAACTAGGGAATTAAGCTAATAAAAGACTTAGTCAATTCCAGCTTCCCTCCAAATCCTGATTGATCTTTCAGGCAGCCAGACACCACTTTTCTACTCAAAACAGAAATTACTCCTACAGAGCTGTTATTCATCCTTTAAAGTGTCTGTAATGTAACACATGAAGAAAACTTGATTGAAGAAAAATCTGATTCTTAGTACTAATTTACTGCTACCTCCCTTTGATGGACTGCATCCTTCTGTTCTCATGGTACTAACACACTCTAATAGTCATTACCACAAAGAATTTCTTCATCACAAGTGTACTGTGAGAACACCTAAAATCCTCTCTCAGAGCTGAGATTTAAAGCCCTGTCTAAATGAAAAAAGAACACATTTACTTCCATATCAGGGTCTTCATAAACGGATATTCTATGTCTACATCCAGCATGCTTTTGTCTTTTTTTATGCCAGTCTCAATTGTAACAAAATTTGACATCAGAGCTTAAGTTGTGATTTGCAGCAGCTATACTCTTTGTAGTATCAGTTTGATATGATGCAGAATATACATTTACTTAAAACTTTTGTGGAATTGCATCAGCCACCTTCTAAAGATGATTCAGTGCAAACACTGTCTAAACACTTCAGCAGTATGTGTTTTGCAGGCTTAAAAATACGACTATGAAATCTGTAGCTCACAACCAGCTGCTCTTTCAAACAATAACAAAATAGAGTATGTCTATGAATTTGCTGCGTTACGCTGTTAGGCTTTCAGTGAAAATGAGCCAGGCAAAGAGCCAGGGGGCCACAATAAAATGTCAGACTGTTCCATATTTGGAAGCTGCTAAAACCAGAGGTAACGTTCGGGATGAGATCACTGAGCGCTGGCTTACAGCTACAGAGGGGTGGAAAAACCTTAACAGCAGTGTGAGCTGAGAGATAAAAAGATGAGAAAAAGTAAATTTTGAGAGTTTTTCTCCTTTTTCAAGTAACAGAGAGAAAATCTGCATTGCGTTTGGTTTCACTGAATGACGTTGATCTGACCCACCTTGGGACTTCAGTTACATTCCATTCTAAACCAGAGATGGCAGGTAGCTCAGCTGTGTGGACTCATTCCATGTTGTGTTAATAACACCTTGCACACCTGAATTAGAGGGGCATTGCCTAAAGGTGTCCTACTTACTGTCTGACTGTTCAGCTAGAACAGCAGATGAGCATAGAAAGGGGCTGTGGTCTTACACCAACAAATACAGATCCTCAAAGCACCCAGACAGGCAGATATAGCTTACCAAATACAGTAAGAGTCAGGAGCAGATTCCTGCGGAGCGACTTGAAGAATTGCACACATATGTTCCCAGATCTGTGCTCCACTGGACTCAAATGACTTTCATGCATCCGCACTTCTACCTGCTTCGGCATATTGTTGGCGCTAGAATAAAAACGAAAATCAAGTAAAAGTTAGAGCACATGATGCCAAAAGGAAGAGGAAAGCCTGAATTATTTCCATCACATGTAACTAGGGAATCTGATGCATATTCCATTCCTTCCCACATTTCATAAACGCCATATCTTTACTGTTCTAAGGAGAGAAGTGTCTGAAATGTTACCATTTGATGTATCTCTTCTAAAGGTATAGCCAGTAAGGTACTTTTTGGAGTTCTCTCTGCAAACACTGAATTCACAGGACACCCTAACTGTTTCATGCGTTAACTTATTTGTCATGACCTGGGGAATCTGATTTCCCCGGAGATCACAGCTGTCCACTGAAACAGGAAAGATGGCTGACAAGCAGTTTATGTTACCAGAAAAATGCAGTTAATACCTTGTTTAATTCCAATCCAGAAAAAAAAAATAAAGAGTTTAAAAATGAGGATTTGATAAAACAATCCATTCCGGGATATTTTGCGTAGGATTCCCAAAACTTTTCAACATTAATATTTTCTAGTAATATAAACAAAATGCAGAAGTCAAAAGAATCTTTTTCAACCAAGTTTTAATGAGATTTGATCAACAGCTACTGAAAAAAAAAACCAGAACATTACACATTCCCCATGAAAGCCTTTGGTTTCATTGAATTTGTAATGTTTACAGGAAAACATACATGTGTATATGTACATATATGTGTGTATATATATGCATACATTATATATATATTTGAGTGATACACATGAGTGCAGGCCTTTGAAAAAGATGCTTCAAACTTTTTCAGTGCCTGATAAATCATTAGCAATAGATTCATTTTTTATATACAAAACCTTTAAATATACTTCGAGGGGAAAAAAAAAACCCACTAAAAATACTGCTGCAAATAAAACACTTTCCACAAACCTTATAGCCATCTTTTTAAATATGAGAAATATCAGAAGAACAGCTAAAATGCAATTTTTATTATCAAGGAAAAAAGAAAAAGGTTGTGAGACCTGGTCTTACGCTAGCTTAGGGCAAGACTTCAGGGAAAAAGAAAAAAAAAAGAAAACAAATCTGCATCAACAGTATTAGATTGAGGCTACAGACCTAAAAAAAAAATGTGATAAACAAAACTTGGATGCTCTATTACTTTTTAAATCAAGATATATTGTCCCACTATGGGTTGTCTGGAGCATATCACTGTGACTGCCACAGAGACAGCAAGCTAAAGCATCTCCAGAGAGACAAAGCAATTCTTTATTATACATAGCACAGTTCACTGTCTTCATAAAGTTTCTTGATAGAGAGTTACAAAAATAGTTCTGTGATGTTCCCACTGAAAGTAAAATGGCATTTATTTCCAGTGCACCTATTGGGTAAAATAGCAGTGCCAGTTAAAAATATATCAGGCGATATGTTTTTTTAAGAGACATGGGAGACTTCTAATTGTTGTGATTTAGATTTTGTACCTTTTACATTTTTTAATCGTAAAATGTGCTTTTGATGGTGGAATAGCAAATTAGAATATTTGTGCATGTTCTGACAGCTCAAATGAGTGGCATAACTTCTTGAAAATCTGCGAACACAACTATCAGATATAAATAAGAATTAGAGAACGACGTACAGTTATTTGAAGTGCTGTAAGAATGAAATAGCATCTGTAGTGATCATGCACACGGGTCACGGAGACATGAAATCACACGTGGAAGCATGCCACAGAATTAAGGAGACTGGGATCTAAACTTTGCAACTAAGGACTACTTCCAGGCTCACTTGAATGCTGGATATAAATGCAGCACTTATTTGGGCCTATATTCACCAAGGGCTGATTTTATACTCATCTGAAACTTTGAAATATGGGCAGTTGAAAGCAATTCAAAAGAAAATATTAGAAGATCTTCAAGTAGCAAATTATTGTCAGAACTAGAGTGGGTCAGTAAGTGCTGCCTACTGCCACTCAGGCCACGTGTCTTTCCAGACTAGGTTTAGTCTGGTTTCCCATTTCCCACACCTATGGCTTCACAGTGTCAGTAGAAAAGCTTCCTCACAAATACTTGCTGCAGGCTACTCTAAACACCATTTTCCTAATTGACAGACAACAGAAGAAACCATTCCCTGCCCCTGTTGCCCATAAAACCCTCCCATACAGAAGCAATCCTGTACCCAAGGCTTATTTCTGTTCCCACTTGCGTCTCAGTGACATTTGCTGGCACTTGCACTCCTTGCCCTTGGAGGCTGTCAGCATCCAAACAAAGGCTCACAAGGTGTGGGGATGGTGGGCCTGCTCCTGCAGCTGCCACTCAGGATTACATCCCAGGTGCACTGAATCCAGCCCTGCTTGAGGTTCTCAGATAACCCAGAGCTTCTATGTTACAGCAAACTCTTGTATCCAAGCTTCACTGAGAAGAAAGTGATGGCACAAGGCTCTTTAAAGGCATTTCTGTTTTTCCAGGGACTTCATACTGCCAACCATGTGTTTTTCTCTGAAGTGCAAAAAATGAGTTTTGCGCTCTCCAGCTCTTCAAGATTGCAAGGAAACCTCCAGCAAGGACAGATATTCTGACTGGTATGTAATTGCTGTGTTTTTATTTTGCTTTCAAAGAAAAGGACCTAACACACACACACACACACACACACACACAAAAGTTAATTGTGCAGACATGTTACAAAAAGTGTTGACAAGTGGATATAATTGCATATAAAGTGGGACCACACGAACAATTATCTAAGCATCTGCACTGTTAGCACTGCTCTTAGCACTGAGATTTCTATCACCAGACCAGAGACAAGGCTCTGGAGGCTGTAGGGTATGGGGGGTTGGGTAAGGAAGGCACTAACAAAATAAAAATCTGCTGTGAATGGTAAGAGAAGCTTCAAGTAGCAAGGACTAAATCAATGTTTCGCTCCAGAAATTTTCTATCCAGTTACTAGGTGATGAAAATCTGCTTGATTTCTGAATCATGGAAGTAGACTTGGGTCTTAGGAACTGAGCCTGAGGTTGAATTCAGTGAATTAGCTCTGTGTTAATGGAACTTCTGTACATAGGTATCATGAGACAGCACAAGAGACATTTCAGCAGATGTGATCTCTCAAACATGCTGATGATCACCCTTGCTGAATAAGCTGCTGTTCCACTGCATGGAGCTTCCGTGGGTATTCAAACTAGCCAAGCATTCTGAATGCTCATTTGAAACACAACAGACCAAAACTTCTTTTAGTCTAATGTCACTGAAGCTAGAACACTGTAATACAAATAAACTCTGCTCGTTATTTTCATATGTCCTAACGACAAGCAGCCAAACAGCTAAGCTGTGGAATAGACACACAGAGAACCGTAAGAACCGAGGCCTTCAAATTAAAGATATTGTTTTCTGCCAACTCCAGGCACCGGAAAACACTGATGGAACTTGTAAAAACATAAAGCAAATACTGGAAAATGCATAGCCATGTGAAACAGCTCATACCACAAGTTAGATGCATAGAGTGGCTTTCGAACACCAAGGATGACCTTCTGCCTAACCCAGCCCACCAGTGCTTCTGAGGCAGCACTTATTCCTAGAAGATAAACTTTTCTGAGCCCAAAGAAATGATTTTTATTCACCTTATTAGTACAGAGATGTCCCAAAGTGAACACAGTCTGTACTTTTGCCTGCTCTGCCAAGGCAATACATGCGCCCATTAATAGAAACAAGTAACAGAACTCAACTGCAATTTTATCACCTTTTGAGGAAGGAAGCAATCTCTTTCCTGAGTAAGCGTGAGGTTAGCCATTTGTTCTTTCCAGTGTCCCTCATCCCCACAGTCTGCACAAGAACAAAATCTGTCCAAAAGCATTTGATTTCAGATTACCTGAACGTTTGCAGTTAATTTTGCCTGTTATAGTGCTCATGTATTTCTCTGCAATTTTTAAGCTGCTGTTTGTTTCGCTTTCTGGTTATTACGCGTAATTGTGTAAAAATGTAGGAAAACAACTCATTGAAACTTCAGTGCCTCTGGGGTTTTCAGTCCTACTTCCTTCAAACATTTTTCTTAGGCTTTATTTTACCTCCCTCTGTGAAAGTCTGCTGCTATATTTCATTTTTACTCCTTTCTTTCTCACATTCCCATTGAAGGCTCTATATATAAGGGTATGAAAAGATCATTTGCTTTTTGCACTTTGCTACAAAATATAAACTCATTTCCTCACAAGAGTTAGGGGTTAAGAATTCAAGTGTTTGTTAATGCGTCAAAGTGTCAATTGAAGTGACAATACCCTTTGAATTCCAATCACTCATTGGAACGCAGACCCAGTTTGACATCAACCTAAAGCAGAGACCACAAGGAAAGAATAATTTGTGATTTAAATGAAAAATGTAGACAAAGATTGTAATGAGGCTAGCAAAAACAGATGCTGAGGACAGGGCAAATTAGCAGAGACGGTGTTTAGTCTGCATGTACTCCAGCTGTGCCAATTAATCAAGCAGGTAATTTTCAGTATAAAAGTCTGTTTTGGTTAATTTGAATTTTTTGCTTTTTGGTTTTGGGGGATGGTGAGCTGCTTAGATCAGAGGCTCTTGTTAGTATAATAAATGGCTATTTTAGAGCAAGACAATCAAATCAGGGTAATCAATTGTTTGAGACTTGTCAAGATAACTTGTGGGGGTATATTAAGCTTTACACAGCAGAGTAACTCAGGTTTCTAGCAATACTTTTAGTAACAGGAACAGCACTCTTTTCCTGGAATGTCACGAATAAAGCACTGGTTTACCTTCTGTGGCAATTACTTCAATATGGGCAGCTACAGTTATTCTTGAGAAAAAGCTCTGGATGTAGCAGCCATGATTTAGGTTCTAGGAACACGTCTTCAGCTGCATGTTTGCTGTCAAACCAAGCGTGGCTCTATTCTAAGTGATGAGTAAGCAGCAGACGTAAATGTTAGCACTTGCTCAATTGTTCCTGGAAGAAATGGCCTTTTCAAAAAGGTAAAAAAGTTTGCTTGACCTCAAAACAAAAAACTCAATTATCTAATGTTGAGACAAGTGT